TAGGGCCTCCCTTTTTAACAAAATTTTCAATCATTTCACAAATATGGAGTGGTTAAAATTTTCAATCATTTGTGAAATGATTGAAAATTTTGTTAAAAATGGAGGCCCTAACCCTGTTAACCACTCCATAAGCCATTGATATTTGACAAGTAATGATCTAAAAAACTTACCTAAGAATTAACTTGCATTAAATTACTTACCTAAGAATAAACTTGTATTAAATTATTTTCAATTTGATATAAATAAATAATCAAGCGCTAGATAATTCAAAATGGGCGGAGTTAATTTATTAAAAGTACATTATGATTGTTTGTAAACATGGAGGATACCATAGGAGTACTTATCTCACGTTTTACCAGTAACATCATAGTAATCATTTTAATGATCTTGTTGATAGTTTTATAAAAATTTTAAATTCCATTTGAATGTTTCATTCAAAGATTTTAAATAAACAATACTGGCTTGACATCAAAAGTTTAATAATTCATTGTTTATTTCTTTACATTGTCATAAAATATTTTAAAATTTTTAAGCAGTGGTAACTGCAAATCCTAAATCTCTAAAAGGTTGAAAACTATTTCTGTCTGTTCATGTTATTTTTTGGCTGGATGGAAATCTATTTTAAAAGTTTTTCATTATAAAAATGTAAGAGCTTGGAATGACACAAACCTGATAATATTATGCCTTACTAGAGTATAGACATCCTCTTGTGATGTTAATTTTATCAACTTGGACAATTTCATTGATTTGTTAGGAGCCTGTCGAAGAGCTGATATAACATACCATGTACTGGGAAACCTTTAAATGACAATAATTATTTATAAAAATAATTATTTATAAAAATACTTATTTATAAAAATACTTATTTATAAAAATACTTATTTATAAAACTGGTTGATGAGCTAGTTGGCTCAGTCAGAAAAAAGCCATGTTTTGCATCACTATTATTGCGAGATGACTTAGCACAACTGATGTTATCTATCTAAAACCTAAAAAAAACATACACCTTGTGCACACAGTGATGTTTGCATGTGCAAATTGAAACTGAATATGTACATTGTACAGTAGCCAATTTGAAATGAAAGTTTAATAGTTACTTTGTAAGTAAAAAATAATTAGGTAAGCAATTTTTGTTAGAGCTACATAATAAAAAGCATAAAAAGATTAACATTCTGAAAAATATATATATAATAAAACAACCTGGAAACGTGAATAAACTTTTCCCTTTCACGATCTTTCACATGCTCACTTATAACAGCTATTGGGCAGCCTTTAGAATAATCTCTTTTAAAAATTAAAAGATCCAAAACACGTCCTCCAACAAGCTGTACAATTGTCTGTGCTTCTTTTGCAGTCATGACAATATCTTTGTTACTGGATCCTTCCACAAGAGTTTCCCATAAACGATCCACAATAAGGAATTTTAAGGCTTCTTCTTGTGACATATCATCAAAAACTATGGGTTTAGCAGCTCTAGACCAACTACTTGAGTTTTTTTGAAGTATTTCTTCAGTTTCTTCATCATTATTTATAAAAACAACTTTAACAATATTAGCATCAGCCCACAGTTTTGCTTTGTCTTGTAGTTTTTCTAATGCTCCAGGCATTTGCTTAACTAAATTGTTGATACCATCAATGACAATAACAACTGGTTTACCTGTTTTAAGCATGTATACAAATGAAGACTCTTCAATAGCATCCAGCACCCTAATTAATTTGCTTTCATTGTCTTTTTTAGGAAAAGACTCAATTCGTAAAACAAAATCAAGAAAAAAACTAAAACTTATATGCTCATCAAAATTAAAATTTACTGCTGCTGCTAGAGTTTCTGGAAGTGACTTTCCTTGGCTAACATGAATATATATCGGTGCACCTTTTTTATTAGCCCCATTTGTAACTATTAACTGTCTAACTATTTCGATCATAGTGCGTGTTTTACCGACGCCGACTTCACCATTAATTAAATAATATTCGTTTGAAAAGTCATTATTTAATATGCTGCTAATCGTTTTTTCTTCTGTGGGCCTTGAAAAGTATGCCACTTCAAAGTTGTTTTCAGCCAATGGTGGAAGAATGTTACCGCATTTATAAGTGTTCACCATCCTTAGCAGCCTCGTGTAGTCTTTATAAACAACGTAGGTACCTGTGGCAACCACTCCTCCTATCATGGATAACATTGGCGTTGACTTCAAAAATCCGCCAAGGGCTTGTTTCCAGGACATCTTTTTAGTTTAGAGTAACAATCGAACTCACTTTTAACAAATTGAAAAGTGAATTAATTTTCAATTAAAAGTGTTGTTTCATATACGATTCATGGATATAGATATATATATATCCATGATACGATTTTTAAAAAAAGTTGATTTTATGTGATATTAACATCATGCAATATTAAAATGATATATAACCTGTCATGTTTTATTAACTTCTATTTGCTTAATATTTACTCAAAATTGATTTGGAATTGTAATCATTTTTCTCAGGTTCTTAGGTGACGGCCTACTCGAGCTGTAACCCTACTTGGCGCACCGGAAAACGCCAATCGCCTATATTGTATACGAGCCAATTCGATCTTCGTGGATTAAACCATGTTTTTATATTTTTTTAACAACCACCCTGTTGAAACACGCCTGTGACTGGAAACATAGTTACAATTTCTTCTTGACATTAATAGAAAGTTCGTGCTTGAAAAGTTAAAGTTACATATCCGACGTCAAAAAAGATGTGAACAGTTAACAATTTATAACGAAAATCAAAAAAATTAGTTATTCCATTTTAATATAATTCAATATCAGACATTAAATGTGATAAATTATTAATCAATCCAACTACTACTTATTAAAATTTCATTTTATTTGCATATAATAGAAATTAATTATAATAGAAATGATAACATGTAGCGTAACTATAGCTGATTTGTTACAAAAACTGGAAAAAACAGATGTAAACAAAAATCTTACAAATAAAAAAAAATTCCAATAAAAAATATATCGATAATAAACACCAAAAATTAATTTTCATCATTTATGAAACAAAATTCAACAATATATGATTATAAACAAATAAATTCAATTAACAAGTTAAATAAATAATTGTAACAAATGTTTTGGAATAAATAACACGGAAAGGTAAATTAAACTATATATATATATATATATATATATATATATATATATATATATATATATCAATATTTGTTATTACAACGGCAAAGTAAATTTATAATTTCACAATAAAACTTTGATGTTAACAATTATATATCGTTGTTGTAGCACTAAACGCTACTACCATCATTTCGGTTTCGCCATTCACACAGCATTGTTGACAATATATCAGCACGCATACTCCTAGTGAGACATTTTGTGATATTTGAATTACATTGGAGGCATGCCATATCCAGGCATTCCATAAGCACCTGGATATATTGGGCCCGGAGCTCCATATACTTGTCCTGGTATCACGCTTGGACCAGCTGTTATCATCAGCTGTGGTTCGTCTGGTAATTTGAATATAAAAAAGAAATATTTAGCGCAAGCTGTTATTAAACGAATGAGTTGAAGAAAGAGATAAGAATCTGAAAATTACAAAATAGCAATAATCTCAATAGGAGAATATAAACAAAATACAATGTGAATACCACAATCAATATTTACTGAGAACAAGAGGTTTATCAGTAGCTTTTTGCTCTTCTTCAGAACGGACAGCATCAGCTTGCTCCAACTTATCCACCTGAAACAGAATCAAGTAGGAATTACAAATTTTGAAAGGTCTGACAAAAAATTTAGGGAAAAGAACGTAAATTTAAAAATTAAAACGTAAATTTAAAAAACTACCTTTAATTCGAAAGATGGATGCACAATGCGCATCAGAGACAAAGAAAAATTTAGAAACTACACAGAAAAAAGTGCAAATAACAAAAAATGAAACTTGGTATCTTATTTCAACAAATATACTATTTCCAGACCACAATTTGAGTTGGTCAATGAGGAGACAAAAAAAGCAATCCAATTTGGATATGCAAAATATATAATGCATCCTTAAAGCGAATCGACAAAGAAGATAAGGAAAAGAGAATGGATCCACTACTTTTGGCAAAGGAACTAACTTAGGCCATAAAATTGGAATTGCTAGAATAAAGTTAAAACTAAATTTTGTTGAGGAATAACATGGGACAAAATAGTAAGGTGCACATGCTTAACAGTGATGATACTGTCAAAAAAATTCCAGTATTAAAAATTTGACTTTGGTGGAAAAACTCTCAGTGTGAAATGGCAGAAGAAACAATCATCAAAAGAAACGAGAATTCAAGCAGCATCTCATTGCTTTGAAGATCACTTTGTTCAAAAATTTATTGTAAAACAAAAATCCTCAACCAGTCAATCAATCAATAATAACTTTCAAATACAATATTCATAAGAGAAGCATGTCGTGCAAAGGGCAACTAAAAAGTACCTTGGTAGTGTATTCCCTCATGACTTGTATGAGGTATGGCATAGCAAAATCAACAATATTGTGTCTCCAAGCTAGTTCCAATATGACGTCAGGGTGAAGTAGATCGTAACATTGGAAGAGACATGCGGCAAAACATTCATAATTTTTGTCTTCAAGGAACCATGACAACAATTCTTCTGCAATATCTGCATTTCGGGATTCACAGGCATACAACATGGCATCCTGTTTGATTGTGGGCAAAATATAAATAATTTATAATTCTGAAAATATGGTATAAGGTTGTTTTTAATAAATAAACCATTAAAGGTTAACCTTAAAGAGTTTATCTTTCTTGCAAAGATCCACAGATTGCTTCCAGCGGTTGTTACCTTTATAAAGATAAGCTCCAATGCGTCGAAATTCTATTAGTTCATGTTTCTCCAATCTTTGTGCCAAACCAATGTTATCAAAGTTGTCAAAAGCTTCAATGGAAGCTCGCAATCCTTGGTAATCTTCTTCCTAATGATGATAATAAAAGAAACTTAAAGAACCCAAAAAATGGATAGATACTCGAAAAAATTTCTTAACTTATTTCTTTTAGTTTGAGCTCATCATTCATTATTATAATATATTATTATCTTAAACCACGAAAAGAAAAAAATAAACCAAAAGATATCGATGCATTCCTTAGTAAAATTAATTAGTCTTTATTTTTTTAAGTAAGTTCTCATAGTTATTCCAATTTTATTACGATGTAGTAAACTATTAAAAGAAATTGCTTCCATGTTCCTATCTAAGCATTCTTAATCTTTTCAATAAAATTAAACAAAAAAAATAAATGTGAAGTTGATCAAATCAGAATCAATGAGATTAGACCAGAAAAACAATGATTTGAGGGCTTTTAATATTTTGTGGGAATAAATTTATAATTGTTATACTTTCCAACAAAACTATAACAAAACATACACATTAAAAAAAGCCAACCCCAACGTTTTCTCAAAAACTAATCAATCTAAATCAAATAATCACTGAGATTTTTATTATTTACAGCAAAATGTTTGGAAGCTTTTAAAACATTTACATTTTTTCTATTGTGAACATTCGATTTTTAACTTTTTCGAGTTAGGTATTTAATTTTCTGTTATTTTTTATCACATATTACTGACAGAATGAACAAAGATGTAAAAAGAATTATGAAAGGCACCTCAATAAGAAGATTGTTGAGTGCTTCATTGACAGCTTTGTTGTTGTTGTTTTGAACTGCCCTTAAATAGGGTTTCACTAATGCTATATGACCAGCTTTTTTGAAAAAACTGACTGCTCTGGTGTGATCCATGCGAGGTGTGAGAACTAGCAACAAATCATTGAGAAGCAGGGGCTTGTAGTCCAAATAGAATTGTAGGGCTCTGTAATACAGCTCAATGTTAGCCACCTGGTAAGATAGTTCAAATTAATTTAAAAATAAATGCCCTGACGTGAAATATTGTTTTTACAGGAAAATCATTCTAATAATAATAATAATATAAAAACCTTTGTGATAATATCTTTGAAATGTGATTCCTTCCAAGCATCAGTTGGGTGGTTCATCATAGTAATTATTGCATTGTCATACTCTTCATATTTGTCATACAAAAAGACCAACTCAGACCACAAGTGAGCTTGATCTGCTGCTCTCAAAACCTGCAAACAAGAACAGTGAATCAATTTGCAGTTGCGTGCTTCTACATTCATGTGAGAAGAGCAATGATATTTAAGTTTAAACTTTTTACAAATCAACAGTAAAAAAATATGAACCTTGGGTATGTTGACTCTAGACCAAAACAATTCTAAATGTTCTCTCATCTTTTGTGGCTTATATTTGGAATACAGTATTGCTAGTTCAGTGAATATGCCCATGTGTGCTCTTTCGAGACCTGAAAATGAAAATCAATATCAAGGTAATCTGTGTATTAAAAAATTTCAATGAGTTTATTTTTAAATGACAAGAGTTTTTTGGAAAAAATTTATTGAGGCTAATCATAGTTATTGAAGTTATTGTATAGTTGTTTCAAATTCTGTATTCTGTTGAGAAGAGAGGAATCATTCATCAGCAGTACAATTTGATTATTGAATTCAAGACGATTAACCAACCTAGAGCAGCCTCAAGGAGTGATATGAGCTCTTCAAAGTAGCCACGGTCCTGGTAGTAGTTGATAAGTTCCTCCAGTTCATCTGCGTGCACAACAATATGCAGGCCGCACATTTGGGCGAGTCTGAACTCTTCGTTATCCAAGCAGGCAAAGCATACCTTTGTTCGAACGTTTAAACGATATTATTACTTTGGGACTCTAATGGGTCCTCATTATGATTTTATTTATTAAATGTAAAGAATAGAGAAACAAGCAGGAACAAACTTCTTTCCAAGTTTTTGTACTGTTGGCCTTGCGAGCACTGTCAACAGCTCCCTGATACTCACCAAGATGAACCAAAGTGATTGCTAATCGGGCAAAGTTGGAAACATTATTATACAGTAATTTAGCAGCTTCATACATCTTGTTATCAAAACAGCGATCTGCGACCTGCCAATTAAGGATTGTAAATGTAAACATTAAATCTTCTAGTTATTTATTATTATTTTACAACCGTAATTAAATCAAAAACCAATATTGAAACAAAAATTAGCATAGAGCAAAGCAATGATAGGAAATACAATACTAACAATACAAAATAAAATTTTCAACTTTATAACTTTTATTTCATACCTTAGTTATAACCATTTAACACTATCACAATTATTTGCTATTACATTCATGTTGATTCTTTGGTTATAATAATTGTTATGCATTAATTTCCTTCGGTTCAGCTATTTTAATTTTTATGCAAAACACAAACAGCCTAATTAAAGTTGATAAACGTATTGAAAGAAACTAAACTTAGAAACTAAATGTTGAAATGTACTTTGTACGATAACATTAAACTCACTTGAGTGATAGATGCGTGGTTGGGACCAGATATGAACTCTTCTAAATCTGCTAGCCTGTTAGTCATGGCATAAGCAAAAACCAGTTCTGTTTCTATATATGTTTCGCGAGCCTTTTTTCGAGCCATTTGCAGATACTTGACAAGGTCTTCCCAGTTGTCTTTTGTTTGTATAATTTAGTTAATAAAATGATGCTAAACAAGTCAGTCAATTTGAAATTAAAAATACGACACCAGAATTCTGTTGACTAAAAAAATATTTAAAAAGTTTCCAGGTTAAAAAAATTTTGCATCTTTAAAATTTATAATCTTCATCTTTAAAATGAAAAACGATATATTAAACAATCAACTGACTGCTCTTGCTGGCAACAGAAACAACTTCCATGTACTGAGTTGGATCATCAGCCTTGATGTAGGAATCAATGGCCTCTTTCACCATTCCACTGTTCAGTTGAGCACGAGCAAGCTGGCTCCACACGGCTGCCTCATTGCACTTTTCAGCAAATTCATAAGCCCGATCCAAGTTTTTAATGTTGTTTATTAAAACCTGCCACGTAAAATTAATTGAATCAAATTATTAACGAAATTTTAAACAAATAAAAATACCCTGGAATAGTCATATAAAATAAAGTATAGGAAAATTTTTTAATAATGTAAATAACAGCTTTTATTGAAAATAAGTTTTAAATAAATAAAAAAAATAAGTTTTAAATAAATAAAAAAGATGAAATCACTTGTATTGCTGAAGCGTTAACTTCAAACTTCTTGAAAATGGCAAAAGCCTCTTCAAACAGTTCATTACTAATAGCAATGTTGGCAATGTCTGGAGCATCATAGTTATCCAATCTGTTTATATACTCCATCACCCTAGTTCGATCAGCTTTGATGGCTGTCAAGATCAACAAATTCTGCAGATTTCTACAAAATCAAGTAACCATAATTAATATAGTTCAGAAATTTTAAATTAAATTATTTTTTATCAGAGTTTGTAAACCAAGTTGGGTCGTAAATATAACAGTTTGCATCTATCAACTAAATTGTATCAATGTAAATTAGAAAGATAAAAATTTTGTATTTACATTCTACTAAATCTTACATATAGAAAAGCAAAAGGTTTAAAAAATAATAAAGAAAATTCATGCCTGTGATCACTGAACATAGAGTTGTCCAGGACAATCTTCTCAAGCAGTTCTATGAGTTCATTGGGCAGATCAGCAGTCATGAATGCTTTCACTGTAACTGAAATGTCTTCAGGGTCTTGTGTTTCTGACAGAGCTGTCTGTACCACCTAGCGTAAATGTTTAAAAAGGTTTTTCAATAAATAATGACCATATTTAAAACGTTGACATAATAAAACAATATTACAAAAATTTAGATGATTTTTAATTTATCAAACTGGATAACACAATAACAAAATAGTCTATTACAACAAAAATAATGAGGCAAAATAAATCCTCAAATCTTTTGTTTTTTGTACACGTTTTTAATGTTTGTCTACCAAAGAATGATAAATAATAATTTTAAAAAAACCTGATCAATGAGCTGGCTCCTGTATTCATTTTCTTCATTTAGAACATGAGCCCAGAGATCAGGGTCTCTTCTGCGGACCAAATAACGAGCCTCGCTTTTGAACAATGAATTCTCGTTACAAACCTTTATTTTTAAATCAATATTGCAAGATATTTTAAAGGGATAATTAGAATTTCGTCAGTTATGCTTAATCAAACATTGTTAAAATTAAATAGAATATATAATGTGAACAAATGAGGTGAATAACATTGATGAGCTCCATATCGCAAGATCCTCTTTCATAGGCAACGCACGCCAAATGCGGGTCCCTCTTTTCACAGTATTTGCCAACAACCTTGCTGTCGTAGTACTGATTCTCACGCAAGAATCTTTCAACAATAAAAATAAATAAATAAGAAATAATTTTTTAATTTTGTATAGTGAACGTTAAATAATATTTCAACTTTTAAAAACAGTTCTATCATTTTTTTGACACTCGATATAATTCCTAAACAATTTTTGCTACAATATAAGATAAAATTTTGAATTTTTTGACCCAAAAGTTTTAGATATCTTGATCTCAAAATTTTACAAATTTAATGAAACATTAAATAGGAAGTTTTATTGGCAACATACAAAACAACAAACTGAATAAACTCCACGCGTTCTAATTAAATTCAATTCTACAAAATAGCAGATCCCATATTTTGGGTGAGGACTGACTTTGACACAAAAAAATGAAATCAAACCACCTCTCGGGGTTGTTGTTGCTGTCAATGTATATTTTTGCCAAAGCATTGTGAGTGGCAGGTTCAATGCTTCCTTCATGAATGCGAGTTTCCAGCCAAGGCAAAAGCAACTTCAGCCTTTAAACAAAATGGATTTTACAGTCAAATAATTTCATAAAACTAAAAAATTTGTAAATTCTATTAAACCATAAATATTCATAGTTAAGGCCGAAGGTTAAGGGGAATACAGTCTCCCAAATTTTACAAACATAACAAACAATAGACGTCTCATATTAGTTGTACAAAAAAATAAATAAAACTAATGTTCTGTGTTATGCAAGTAATACTTAAAAGCTAGCACAGCATTTTGATTCAGTCATTAAAATTGACAAATATAATGAAAATTGAATATTTTTATGTAAAATTTAATACAAACAGGCATAAACGTTCACTCCATATCGTGCGTAGATAATTAAGGAATAATTTCAGGTAACAAATATTTATTTGCTTCTGTATATGTGTATACGTATATATATATATATATATATATATATATATATATATATATATATATATATATAATTTAACATAGAGGATAAGTCGTTAACTAATGGGCTACTTTTAGATCTTAGCAAGGCATTTGATTTGATATTAATCACAATTGTTGTTAAGAAAATTGTTTTCTTTTGGTATTTGTGGAATACTCTCTCAGTGAAGTACTTAAAAGTATATTGTTCGCTGATGGCGATGACAAATTCAGGAAAGAACATCGATGCTGTTTTCGATACTTTCAACACGGAGGTGGAAAAATCAGCCATTGGTTCAAATTGAATGATTTGAATATCAATTATAAAAAAAAGGATTTACATGATTTTTGGTTCTAAAATTATCTAATAATTTAAAAATTTCAATTAAAATTCACAATAACAATTTTGAACGGGTGTATGAAAATATATTTTTAGGTTTCGTGATTATGGATTATTTGTCATGGTTAAATCATATAATGTTTATATCTTGCAAAATTTCTAAAGTTACCGACATTATCCAAAAATTAAATTACAGTTAATTTTATCCTTAATTAACATATGGCTTAATTCTATGGGGTAACAGTTGCTATATAAATATAAGTTGAAAGAAGACCATATTTTATAACTTATAACCTTATACAGTATTGTATGAATTCTACCGAATTGTTGGCATTAATCAATTTAAAGTTTGTCTTTCCAATTTTCCTTACTGGAATTGTCTAGAAATTGTTCAATTTATTGAAAATAGAATTATTATCCAAGTTCATCATAAAAATTTAATGAAACTGTCGCTATAAAATTTATCATCATGCAGATAGGCCTTAAATCATTTTCATATATAAATATATATATATAGGTGAGATTAACTTGGTTTGGACATGTAAACAGGATGAACTTAGAGAAATATAGGGCCTTATTCAACCATGTACAGGGTAAGAAAAAAAGAGTTCGGCCTAAAAAGACTTGGACTGACAACATCAAAGAAGACTTCAAAATAAAAACACAAACATCGTAAAAGCTGAAAAATGGCAAAAGATAGAAAAAGATGGAGGCTCTTTGTGACTAAATATTGCCGCCCAGGGCTGGCAGACAGCAGATGATGATGATGATACTCATGCATATAGCTACTTATTTGTTTTGAAATTTATAAGAGAGCATGATAAAACAATTAATTTGAATAATAACCAACCTATTTCGCTTTTCAACCTCAGCAACCAATTCATCGATTGAAAATTGTCCTTTTACAACAAGTATTAGCTGCTTTATAGCATCTTCTGAGCAGTCGACGTCAAGTAGACCACCGACGACAACAGGCAACCTTGATGGATTTACCTAATCAGAGAATACATGTCCACATTATCTTTACAATCAACCTTAACAAGGTTACCTTGTGAATTCTGCCATGACTCGTATTTGCCTTAATTAGCCAACCAAAACAGATTCATTGATTTTATGTTAAAAAGTTACGTCAACTCAATGCAAAGTTTTTTCTACACAAACTAGAGTTACAAACGTTACAAAGAGATAAAACTGACAACTAAAACTTATATAATATAACTTGTGGAGTTGAATGATTAAACAATATTTTAAATGCCAACAGACCATTATAAAAATAATGGAGGTGCTTGTGAAAACTGGAATAAAAATGGTTCACATTTTCTGGCATAACATATTACAACAAACAGTTGATTTATGCAAATAACATTTGACCAGAATATTTTTTAATTTTAAAATTTTTAAGTAAAATTATTTAAGAATAATCATAGAAACCTCACCGTTGATTATATATATATATATATATATATATATATATATATAAGGTTAAGTTACACAGAATGACAAACCTTTTGAACATAAATTTCAATGTATTTCTGGAGCCCATTACGATACAAGTATAACACAAGATCATGGACATAATCAAATCGATCGCAAACGATTATCAGTGGCAGTTGGTCTGTCAATTTTGCCTCCTGTTTCAATTGAAAAAATTTGAATATCTCTTTATAAACTGTTAGAGAAAATAACTCAACAAAAAAAAATATTTAAATTCTTATAAAATAATACTATGTATGTATGTAACTCATCACAGATAATGATTTTGAAAATTGAGAACTTATTATATATTATATTCATAGTTAAATGTTAATGCTTCTCTAATAAGACTAATTCACTGTCAGTTGAAGACAGGTGATGCTAAATTATTTTTTCAAAAATAGCTTGAATTAACTATTTTTCATAATTTTAAATTTAGAAATGAACAGTTATATCTTGGATTTTTTCCACTATATCCAATATTTTAAAAAAATCAGATGTCTTTCTGAAGCCAATTTTGACAAGAATTTCAGCTGAGCATGTGGCATTACAAAGATATTTTTCAATACAACATAGCAAACTGCACGTCAATATTTTCCTGTTATGGTTTCACTGATAGATATCAAAATATCAATGACCTTAATCCAACCAAAAATTGTTTGTTTTTCTTATGTTAAAAATACTAGAACCCAAGCTAAAAATTATCAATTTAAATTTATTTCTAAGAAATCATAAATTATACTACTGTATGCAAATGATAAATTTTTAAAATTATTTGTCTCTTATTAGTTTTTATTAATTATTAATTCTTATTTGTCATAGGTTTCTTATTAAGTGTAAAAAAAAATCTAAAAAAGTGATAAACCTTCAAAAAGTTTTTGACTCTTTCAGGATTGTAGCAATTACTCTCTCTGCAAATTCTTTCCACTTCTTTGATTTGACCTGTCTTGCAAGCAGCTTGTATATACTTGAAATGTACTTCCGCTTCTTGTGAGAAGTTCACAATAGATCCAAGAAAATAAAAAAGACCTGCAATGTGGGGAAGAAGATATGCCAAATGAAATTTATATTAAACATTAAAGATATGATTAAATGATAGTTCAAGTTGTCCAGTTTTCTAAGTAGTAGAGGAAACAAATATTACAGTAAATTTACAACCAAAAAGTAAAAATTTTTTTTTTATTTTCGCAAGTGGCTTTAAAAAACATTATAAAAACACAAAGAGATTTGAATATTTGTTTTAGTCTTGATATTTTTTGGAAATTTATGAAAAAAGGGAATAAATACATTGTATAATAGTTTGAAAATTGTCAGCAAAGTTTTCCAAGCAGACTGGAACCCTACTTAAACAAAACAAAATTCTAGAAACAGATATATTGGTAATGTTAGTTACATTCTAACATTAAAGCAGAAATTTGAGGTAAAAAAATTTGTTCATGCAATTTGATGTTATATGATATGTGTTTAAGTAAACATCTTCTGTTGTTGTTGTTGTTGTAATTGATCGCTGATCGACCAATCATTTTTTCCCCAGTCTCTCCAGAATTTCTGCCATCCTCTTTGCGGCCTCCATTGGGCGCTCACTCAATTCTCCCAGTTGTGCACCGAGACCATACCTGTCCTTCATTTCCACCATGGCCCCACAGTGTTGAGCCGATTCATTTGCATCACTGCAAACCTGCAATGGTTTTCATTTATTGTACCACTGACCAGTTCTAAAACGGCTGAGGTCCGTTCTTGATTGCTTGTTAAGTTTCTCCTCACAGATATTAACGGCTTTTGTTGTTGTTGCCGTTGCAGGAGTTGATAACAATCACATTTAAACAATATACAAACCGCCGTTTTTTAAATTTAAGTTTATTTAGATTTTCTTTAATTGCATGAACTTAAATTTCATTTAAATTTATCTTTCTTAATTACATTTAGTGCTTTGGATGGTTCTGAGTTTTTTCCTTACTCTAACTAATTTTAATAATAGAATCAGTACGTTTGACAATATCAAAAATTAACGTTGTGCAACCTCAATAAGGCAGGGTTGGTGGGTTGTTGCATTTTGCTTTTCACAAATTTTACTGAGTATTTTTTAGATAAAACAAATTTTGTGATCTAAATAAACAACAAACAAACCTTCAAAGCTCTTGAATGATTCAAATATTTCAATTAGAGCTTGGGTAGTAAGTTGTTCATGATATTTTGTAGCAATTTGCACACAAATTTGCAGGTTTTGACGTATATTTGCTTGAAGCATTGCTTTAATACATTCCAGGGAGTCCTCCACGGATAATGACCCAAAATAATTCACTAACCAGTCCGGATTCAACAGATGAGTATGCACAACTGCTCGTTTTATATCATACAGATCAGTGTAATGTTCCAGAGCCTTAGGTTTGATAATAAAGTTTTATATTCACCAAAAATGTCAACAAAGTACACAATGAAATGAAAGAAATTATAATATACATGAAGATTAAATTTATTTCATGATGGAGACTTGTGCACTACAGTTTTTAGTTGGATTAATCAATCCATGAATTTCTATGCTTAAAACTTAATAATGCGTCATATTAAACTACATTTTTACACTAAATCATAAATTAAAAACTTTTAAGATACCTATCGCCACAAAAACCACTTCCACTATTTTTTTGATAAAATAATATAGGCTCAACTGTAACTTACCCAACGTCAAACTGTTCACTCAAACTGTTTTCTTATAAATGTTACAAAACTCTGCATCTCCAAATGCCAATTTTACTTACCCTTCTCTTGATGATCATGTACCTTTTTAAGGTTCACAAATAAAGCGTCATCCACTTATCAATAAACTTTTACCTTCATCTGTATTCTGACTCTCTGCCAGCTCACATTTCTGCCATTTCCTTATTTGCCCTTTTTCTAGGTTACTAATGAACCATCTTATTTTGTTCACCTCATGCAACTACTATCTGCAGCTACCAACCTTTTTATTGCACTTTTCAATTTTTTTAACCATAAAGATTCCCTGTGTTTTGGAAGATGTATTCCTAACACTCAGCAGTCATGACCATGAACTCTGAAAAGTAGTATCTAATAACAGTTCATTTTTTAACACAAATTTATTGTTTAATGTTCTTTTTTAATTTTCTCTGGAGTCCTTCTCTATAATTTCCATACCATAAAATTAGATAAGTAGTTTTTTATTCTTATTCGCCTCCAGGCACAAAAAAATTCCAACAATTTTTTCCTTTTCATTCATATTCACGAAAATCAAATCAGCATGCATCAACTGCTTGCACTAATTTTTCAAACCAGCTATTTTAATCTTCAACACTTTTTTTAGACTTACTCTCCTCAGACTTGTCAAGAAACGCTTCAGAAACTCATCTTTGCGCTTCAACCTGTTTGCAGAACATGCACTGACACCACTTATAAATAATATATATATATATATATCTTTATATATAGTCCAGCTTTTTCACACAGTTGGGCTACATGAGCCCTATCATAATGAGTGAACATTTGATTGCCTAAAATTGCATCCGCAACCTGTTTGGTGATAATAGTGACACAGAATTTAATTTCTTATGTACCAATAAGGTGCTGAGGTTTTTAGACAAATTGTTAAAAGAGATAAATAATAAGGAGTAATAAAGAGATAATAAGGGAGAAATAATAAGAAAGAAAAGTGCTTATCAAATTTTACAAACTATTCTTTATTTACAAATGACGTTTTTATAACCTTGAAATTGTCAATCACCTGATTTTTAGTTTTTAAATAAAATTATTGAACTACATACAGTTAAGCAGTCATTCAGGCAATGAATGAGCCTCATTAACTCGTTAAAAATTAGTTGTGTTAGAATATGCAAGTTGAGCACATCACTTTTGTTTTATACTTACATTAACTTTTCGTTTCAGTTTCCTTTCCCCATTGTTAGTTTTAATTGATTATTCATTCAACATTCAATCATCATGATGACAGCCAATTAGCAAAAAAAAACGTTATTGTGCTCGGTTTATGTTTTCAAATTCAATCGCAATTTGTTTCTTGTCATGTATTTTTTAGAACTTGAATAAACAAATAATATTAACCGAAAATTTTTTATAGGTTGAGCATAAAGTGAAAATTGAAAAACAGGTAAGATTTATAAACTTGGCAAAAGTGGTCGGAACTTTTGTTATTAGCATATTAAATTCTATTGCTTGAGGTACATATGCATTTTATTCTACTGTTTGCATATGATGAATTATATAAACAAAAAGTATATATTGTGTATTGTGAAAGAATACGTGAAGAAGTTCTCCTGGTTACAAATATCTTCACAGATAGCAATGTTTAAAATTTATTTGCGAAGTCACAGCAGCACTCAGCAACTATCAACCCATACAATCACCATGTTCTCAAAATTTGTGGTTTCTTTGGCCTGTATTTAACAAAATCTAAAAAAGCCGAATTTATTCTGTTGTTTGGATATGACGGATTTGATAAACAAAGAGTATATATCGTGCCTATGTGTTGTTTTGTTGTTGATATCATGAAAGAATAAATGAAGAAGTTCTCCTGGTTACAAATTTCTCAACAGAAAGTAATGTTTAAAATTTATTTGCGAAGTCACAGCAGCACTCAGCAACTACCAGCCTATAGGGTCAGCCAGTTTTCAAAATTTGTGGTAATTTTGGCCTGTATTTAACCTTAACAAAATCTTAAAAAATACCCAATCCTGATTTCCTTTCAATCTAATTAATAATAGATAAAAATGAAGCAGATAAAATTAATGATCCTAATTTCTGGACCTAATAGTATAACTCATCGTCCATGGATAACCTATAACAAATTGCTAAGGTTTCCAGTGTACCTTCTTCACATGGTCGATGATAATCCTTAATTTTCATAAAATTTCAAAAGAAGTTCCTAATCAAGAAGATAATCTTCTCAAAGAATGGGGTGACGCGATTCCATCGCCCAAAAATAATGATTTTGCTTTCCTTAATCTAATTTTATATTTCCATGTACTTGTAATGTCAATTTTATTTTAGGATGCTTGTGTGTATATTATATTATATGTTCATTGGTCTTTTATATATTTATATATCAATTTAATTTTAACTTTTGGTTCATTGTTCATTTTAATAATTATTTATCATTTTTAATTTTAACTTTCAGTGATCATCAATGCTTTTATTTGGTTTATGAGTACCTTTTTTTAATTTTTGTATATTTATCTTTTTGATTTTAACATATGTACAACGACATTGTTTTTATTTAGTTATCAACGTTTCTTTTTTATTAATTATGCATTTATTTATTCATTTGTATTTTGACATTAACATTGCTTTTATTTGTAGAGCTCCTAAATTAAACTTTTGTTGCAATAAATTTTTCAAAAAAAAGAGCTACTGAAGCTTGCCAAATTGGTTGCTAGAGTCTATAAGACAACGTTGCGCCCACATGCCAAAGCAATAACTATTACGTGCGATATGCGGATCTTAAATCATTCAAAGATGACCTATAAGCAGATAAAAAGTAATGAATTAACTAAAATGTTTACCATAGTTTAAAATATAATTGAAATCAATCTAGAGCCAACGAGAGGTAGTTATCTATTGACAATGACAAACCAACAACTAATTTAAACAAAACTGAAAAACCTGAGGGGCGAACATCAGGTTCATCTCTAACAATCTTGTTTGCAGTGGACCTTCTGCTGGTCGATTATTTTTCAAAGCATCCAAGAGAAATGCCGTACATTGTTGAACCATGTTTGTCTCCATGAAGACATCTACAATCTGTGGTCATTACCAAATATAAGTAAATAAACTAAATCGATCAAAAAATTACCTCAGAATAACAAAACTAAGATTGATAATGGCATATTCGTTACTTTATGGACTATACCTTGCTTGAAACTGACAAAATTTTATTACAATTCTAGTTTTTCAATTAGACAAAAATAACAAAAGTTACATTTTTTATAAAGCTCTTCTGTAGCTATAAACTTTTTTAATAAAAATCTTTAATACAACAACAACACACGTTTAGACGACATTTTCCCCGAGATCGGGGGTTGCCGTTTGGCTACCTATGATGAAACCGAAATACCCCTCGACGCCATCCACATCTGTCCCTCAGTATCACACAACCCCGCTTTCACCCTGTCCTTCTCCACCTGCTCTCTCCATCCCAATCGCGGACGATCCCTTCCTACCACTCCTTCAACCTCGAACTCCAACGCTCGCCTAATCCCGACCCTTTCATCCCTTCTCAACACATGTCCATACCACCGCAATCTCGATCTCCTTATCAAATCTTAATAAAAATCTTTAATAATTGGATAAAATGACAATTGAATTGTACTCAATTAACAATTTTGTACTAGCCTGATTTATGTCAGCAAGGGGTTCATCATCTTGCACTAGCATCTGTGCAAATTGAACACCTTGTTCAGGATTGATTCGCATGATACTTCTCAACAAGAAGATGTAGTCTGGAGTATATCCCACTTTCTTTGCATACAGTACTATCTTTTGATACTGGCCTGTCTCAGCAAAACACTGAATCACCTAAATTTTTGAATAAAAAAGGAGCCTTCATTCATATTATGTTATATTAAGTATCACTGTAGAAAATAAAAATTCAAGAATATTTAGGTATATAAATATTGGTAAATTTTGGTATTAAAACAAAATATATTAAATCAAAAAATAGCAAACCTTGTTGGGCACATTCGCTCTTAAGTAGACTGATAGAGCTAAAGTTGGATCAGCTACTTTTACCAAATCACCAAGTTCTTCACTGCACTCCAACTGAAATTATAATATGAAATAAAAAATAATGAAAATATAAAATATTAATTGGCAAAGCAAAATATAAAATATGAAAAATTATGAAGTGTAAATTAGCAGGAGAGGTTGGAAGAGAAAAGTGAAAAAATATCCATCTAGTAAAACTAAAATCTTGATAAATTTTTTTGATAGATAGATCACCCTATAAAGAAGATAATAACTCGAAAAATTTGAATGTTACATTTTAATCAAATGATAAATTCTTGGTATTTGCAAGCCCAGTTGTATTGTTAATAATTACTTGGCTAGTTTTTCTCAGGTTCATAGACCTAGTTCTGATCAGTATACAATAAATAAAAATATTTAATTTAAATTTTTTTTTATAAGTTATTAACATCTTAACCTTATCCTCTTTCAGCCACTTTTCAAGCAGTTGTTTCCGACCCTGTTGAAGTACTGGTCTACACAGTTCAAGTGATTCATACTTATTCAATTGACCTTGGTCCAAAAGGATGCCAAAGTACTGCAGCAATGGAGATGTTTGACCTTGTTGGGCTGGTATCTGTTGAAATCTCTGAATGGTCTGTGGTGTTCTCAGAATGCCCTGTACATGTTTAACATAGAATCATAAATAATAATAAGATTCTGGACTGTAATTTTTCTTTAAATTTTAAACAAAATTTGGATTTCTTGCTCTTTACCTCATTTTTGTTTTGAAATTCTAGTTTTTTTCCTCAAATATTTTCGAGACAAGATTATTTTCTCATATGTATTATTGAGAGGTATCCACATCACATAAACACAGACACATAGCATACAAGGATACGCAAGAATACACGGGCGCATAGGCGCACAAGATGTAGCCAGAAAGTTTGAGGTCTGGAATACAGGCTAAAGGTAAACCTTGACAAAACAAAAACTATGATCATCGGTGGTACCGCTGAGCCTGTGGTCTCTGATTAATGGCCATGTTCGGTGTGTGGGGCTAAAGTTGGAAGCAGTGGTGTCACAGATGATGCTCAAAAATTACCGGCTCACTGAGAAAAGTGACTGATTTCGTATGCCCCGACGACGGAGCCCAGATAAGGATACGATTACCGGGATCGAAACTGTTACTTCATTTCAGTATTTGGAAGATATGCTGGATTGTACTGGAACAGCTGATGCCGCCGTTCGTGGACGCATACGTGCGGCGTGGGGCAGATGGCACCTTCTTGCCTCGGTACTGATGCGGCGTAGCATTCCTCTACCTCTGCTCACAGAACTATACAACACAGCTATACGTTCTGTTCTAATGTTGCAGAGACGTGGCCGATGACAACAAAACTCGAACAGCAGCTTCACCAAAATGACATGAAGATGATTCGTTGGATGCAGCATGTTGACCTAAGGGACCATATCCATACAACCGAGATCCTGAACCGATCAGGACTGTTCTTGTTGAAGGATGCATGTTGTCGTCATCGCCTATGATGGTTTGGCCATGTGAAGCAAAGCGAAAACGATACAATAATTTCTGTTACTGAGAACCAGGTGCCTGGCACCCGCCCAAGAGGTCGCCCAAAAAAGTCATGGATGCAGACCATACAGGAGAACTCGAAGGCACTTGGTCTCAAGGAGACAGAGGCAATGGATAGATCGGCTTGGAGACATAAACTGATGAATGGAATAAAAAAAGTCTGACCCATAACGGATGGAGACTATAAACGAGGATTGATTGATTGACTGCATTTTCAGCTTTCCACTCTATGTAAGCTGAAAATGCAATATTTCTAACAAATTATACGTTCGACAGTCTTAATCCTAAATTTTTATATGCTTTTAAAAACAAATCCAAGTGAAATATCAAAAATTAAAAAAAGGTGAGACATAACAATTTATGATGCATACCTGAAACCTGACAAATTTAACTTGAATGAAATAAACTGAAAATAAAGAAGTAACAATTCTTCAAATAGAAAAGCAATGATAGCAAAACCATAAATTAAGAAATAAGTAAAACCTTTGGAGCACCAGCTGCTACTTTTGCAGCTTCATTGTACTGTCCTCCCTGGAACAAGCTGTTGAATTTGCGAACAAACAAATCTTCGGCACCTTTTCAATGGCATATTATTTTTCATTAAATCAGTTTACCATAAGAAAGAACATTAAATAACACTCAAAAAGATGTTTGCCATTTATTTATCAAACTTCCGTCTTCTTTAACAGTTCAACCAATTGAGCTTTTTAATTTGACAAAACATTCATTAACTTTTAGACATTCAATGTAAATTCATGGCCAGCTTTTTCTACAACAACAACACACGTTTAGACGACATTTTCCCCAAGATCGGGGGTTGCCGTTTGGCTACCTATGATGAAACCGAAATACCCCTCGACGCCATCTACATCTGTCACTCGCCTCAGTATCACGCAACCCCGCTTTCACCCTGTCCTTCTCCACCTGCTCTCTCCATCCCAATCGCAGACGACCCCTTCCTACCACTCCTTCAACCTCGAACTCCAACGCTCGCCTAATCCGCTCGCATAATTAATTTAATTAATTAATTAAACCCAATAAACACAAATAAAGTTTTTTCACTTTTTTACCGTCATTTACATAAATAATGGGAGCTCAACACACATGCATCTAGGAAGCATCATAAAAAATATTTATATATTTCATAAAAATAATTTAAACATTCATAGGACTAAATATTTGAATGAATTCTAATAAAAATGATTGATATAAATTTTAGTTAACAAAAAGCATGTTACATCAAATCTCAAGCAAAGTTTTTTAAATGAAAAAAATCTATTATGAATTATGTTAATTGAATGCATTATGTTCATGAATAAAAAGGAGAGAAATTAATAAAATTAATAATTAAAACTTGGTGAGTGTAATTGTATTATATAAGAGTAATTGTTGTAAAATATGGTGATTAAAGTTAAAGCTGAGAAATAAATAATAGTTTATGCTAAGAAAGTTCACAGTTTGATAGAAAACAGGGTAGAACATCTGAATAGAACACTTTTATGTAAACAAATGAAATACTCCTTCATAAATTTACATTACACCCAAACGCGCGCGCACACACACACACACTCACATCTTTTCATATATATTAATTTTCAAAAATCTTTTTTTAACTTTTTTTAAATACATGTTCATGTAATGTAATTAATAATGAAATAAACCACAATGACTTAAAAATTAAACCAATGTTTAATAAAAAAGTTTGTGACATACCTGGCAAATTGTTTCTAGATGCAATTCTTAGCGCCAGATCTGGATTTTGCATGGTGCCGGTAATGTATGGGATCAAATTATCCTCTTCCACACTAACTGATAAGACCTAAGTTGTTTCAACAATATTCAATATTTTGCTTTTAAAGAATGAAAAAATTATCGCCAGAGTAATCTCTACTTCTAACATTATTTTAATTGTCAATTACACATTACAATTTTACCATAAAAAAAATCTTATTAACACTTTTTAACTGTTAATTAGTAAAAAAAAATAACAAAGACAACAATATTTTTTAGCTGAAAAATACAATTTTTACTGTGCATCAATTAATAAGAATCAATGATGCACTCCAAAACTCCAAAAACTTGAGTTATATTCAACAAGAGATTTAATTTTAATACTCTTAAAAATTTAGAAAAACATTTCCTTAAGTGGTACAAAGTTTAAATATAGAGCAAACCTGTCCTTTCCTGTTGACACCAATGATACCAGATGAGGCATCATGAGGAGCTGTAACAAAAATCGTATCGCCACTTATCCTATTCATGTAGATACAAGTAGCCGTCTCCATGTCATACAGATGAATGTATCCATATTTGGTGATCAGGTAGATCATGTCGTACTTCTGGCCAATCTGTTCAGATTATTCATATAACCAACTAATATCATGAATTAGTTTATAAATTAATTCGTTGTAAACAAACAAATGAAAGTAATAATTTTTAATATGAAATAACAACACTGCATTTAAGAATTATTTATTCATTTCATCACATAAAACCATAATGGAATAATATAATGCCCTTACTATCCGAAAACATGATCAAACTAATATAAATTAATCAAGTGATTGGATAAACAGAGACCTGCATGGCGACAGGGAAATCATTCTGAGCTTCAGGAGGGAAGAAAATGTCAACAGCTTTTTTAGTGAATGGTTGATTACCCTGAGCTGGTGTGCCAACTTCAATGACGTGCAACTGTTAAATGATGATTTACATTCCCGATATCTTATCAGAAAAAATAAAGATTGAATAAAAATTAATATAAAATGAAATTACAAAACGTTCTTTAAGATGCAAGAACACTTTTTGTTAACAATGAATTATCGTGATAAGTCATGCTGACAGGGTTGTTAATTTGTGATCAATGCTTTGTACAATGTTTCAAAACAAAAAATTAGTTTACAAAAAAAACTACAATGTGGTCACCACAGAAAAGCCACACTGGCTCATAAGAAAAAAAAGAATATCCCTTGTAATAAAAACATCATTATAATTATTCCCTTCACTTATTTCCTTTAATTAATATTGAGTATCATCATTGACACTGTGTGTTTGGAGCACAAAACAAAGTTAATTAACGATATGTTAAAAGTCTAAGTGAGAAAGAAGCACTTATTTTTAAATGACCTTGCTAGAAGCAGCTCCACGAACAGCAAAGCAGAACAATGTTGAGGGTGATGCATTGCCAGGAATCGTGAATTGTCCAAAAGCTGCTGCGTGACCTTCAATCGGTTGACTGACCTTCCTCTCAACACTGTACAGCTGCATGGCTCCAACAACTCTATTCGCCTGAATTTTAGTTACACATGTAATTCTTTATAAACATTAATCAAATAAATTTTTTTTTTCAAGCAACATAATAGTTTCCAGCAACAGTCAGGGTTAAATTTCCCCTCTAAAACAAGATGAAACTATAGAACACTCGGCATGACAAATGTTATTAAAATAAAATTGCACATTCAAACAGCAAACGAGAATGTTTAAAATGATGCCTAAAATGAAGTTGGCAAAGTCATAGAGAAGGAAAGTTAGTCAAGTGAGGAAGGATGTCAGTAAGCAATAGTGTTGTGTAATTGTTGACAAAAATGAATGATTAACAATCTCTATTCATGTTTTATGACTTTAATAAATTTCTCATAAATTAATGTTTACTTATAACCAAATTGTATTAAGAAGATCATAAATATTTTCATAGACATCTAGAACACTTAGTGCATTTTAAACACTCATAAAACAATGCATCACACATATTGTCAAACAAAAAATATTTGGTGAAACTTGTGACACATTTGGAAAAACATCAAAACAGTTTAATTGATTTTCACCACTAAATTTTGTTCACATTCACAAAATGAGTGTTTAAAAAGAATAGTAATATCTGAACTGTGTTAAATCTAAATGAACAAAGAAGTAGGCTAACCAAAAACCATATAACATGCAAAAAAAGTTTTTTGTTAATATAAGAATCAACAACCATTGAAATACACACAATTAGTCAATATCTCAGACACAAGTCGGAATGGAAATATTATTAGACAAAATTATCAAAAAATCAAAACTATTTTAAATAAGCCACAACCACTAGCACCACAAAATTGTTGAAACACCACGTGTTAATAAAACACTGTAAGAAAAATAGCAAACACATCACGTGCCAATGATTAGAACGTTGCAAAAAACTTTCTAGAATTTGTAACACATTTGTTAGTAGGTTAATTAACAAGAAAGGGCAAAGAACCTGCTGATCACCAACTTGCGCAGAAATGCCCGTCAATAACAACCACTGCTGTTTATGGTCAGTTCGATAGTTTATGATTTGACATCCAGCTAATGTTGAATGCCTGTCAAAAATCTTCTGTGGCTGGGAGTCACCTGCCAATAAAGCAACAGTTTACTTAATTTATTAAACCTCCTCATAAACAAATTTGATGGTTGATGAATGGTTTTAGATAACATTTTGAGCAATTTAAAAAAAATGCACATCAGCTCATTAACCAGGTCCCATTTATCGGATTGCTTAAATTGGATTTTCTTTCACAAATCAACAATTATTCAACACACTATTAATACAAATTTTAAAACAAAGCAAAAAAAGTTCTTGATAAGAAGGATAATCTATTGAACACCTGGAAAACATAAATTGATTTATCTAACACTTGCTAGAAAATTTTTTCATGACTTTTCACGATAATTACAATAAAATCCCATGACTATCAAAGCTATATTCTACAAATTAAGTAGGTACTATGCAGCATTTAAAGAGAGGGCATAAAAAAAAGTTGTTATAAGTTTCTCCATTTTTTGGTCATCCAAGAATCAAAAAAAGTATTAGAAGCTGAATAGAATTTGCTTCAAATTTTTTTACATTATAAGCAAACATAAAAAACATTTTTTAATTTAAAAATTCACAACAATCCAAACATAAAATCAATCTCCATTTTGCATCCAGAGTCCCGATTCCCCGAGGTAGGACGTAATCCAAACATAAAAGGCGGATCCAAAGACCGAAGTGGGGAAGGGTCAATATTTTGAATGTTGAAAGCTTTTAGCACCATTATTTTTTTGAAAATACTACAGGGTGGTCCAAAAGCAGGTAGACAGCAATGGCTAAAATCTTTTCAAAAACAATATATAAATTTAAATAGCAATTTTACCTTCCATGCTCCAGTGATAAACAGATGCCTCTGTCACCAGTGCTACAGTATTGACACTGATCCACTTCCAGAATATGACATCTTCAGTCATGTTATGAGCTTTCACTTTACTTTTCATTTCAATGTTAAATATCTGCAAAGTTTTTCCAGCTGTATGATGGAAAAAAAATATCCGGATAGTAACACTTCATCTTTTTAATGATAGTCATACTGGTTGAATGGTCATCAACATTAATTTGCATTAATAATTTCTTGATAACAATAAGGTGAAATGTTTTTATGGTAAAAATTATTACAATAAAAAATTAAATAAATATTGTCACTAATGGAATTTTCATATAATCAAAAATCATCATCATAAATAAAGTTTAGAGATTAAAGTTATTGAAAATCATCCATCCAAAAAGTATGCCTTCAATGATGGGTAGTATTATTAAGAAAGAACCCACAAGCTTCAAAATCTTCTTTTTGTTTTGTTTTAACATGAATCTACTGCCTTAACGTACCAGGTCTTAAAACTTCAACATTTCATCTAGCACCATTGTTGAGTTTATATACTCCATGGTCATACTGTATACCATCCATTACCTAAACATCTACATTTCAGTCCTCTTCAACTTCCTTACATTTCCCACTGGAAGAGCAAATTTTTTGCTCTCATATCACAGTTTGTATATCAGTCTTTAATGTGTCATTAAAATTATTCCATTATGCTTACACTCAGTTCTACACTTGGTTGAATTCCATAATTTTATGATTAGTATAAAAATGAGACCTAATGATAAAATAACATTTCTGACCAAAAACATTCAATTACGTAATAAATTTTCTTTACAGACAAGCATAGATATATAAATGATGGTACAGTTTTATATAAATAACTATATTTTACAAAACTGTTGGAAAATAATGATAAAAATTTGTTGAAGATTTTTAAATTTAGTGCTTTTTCTATATTCTTCATTCACACAGCCTATTCCAAAAAGCTCCAATGTATAACCCCCAAAACATCAATGTCTAAATTAGGATAAAACCAACATAAGCAGATTTGTTAGAATCAGTGATTACACAGTGATAACAATAAACTTTCAAGCACATGTAAGCGCCAGTTGGACGCTGATAAAGGTAGAAGTCAGAAGATTTTAAAAATTGGAAAGAAGGTCATTAAGTTAAGGCTCTGAACCTGCAAAAGTGGTATTTAGCACACCAAACAATGTTAATCAGGACAAATACAGAATGTCATGTTTAATCATTAAATGCAAATCATCCTGACAATTAATTTCTAAATCATTATAATGTTTAGAATATTTGTCTATATATATATCACATAAAAAAATTTCAAAAATAAATTCTGGATGACCTATTAAAATTTATGAATAACAACATTTAAGTACAACTTATCACACTCGTTTACCTTTGAGGGCTATAACTTTACTGGCAGGATTCATGATGGCTGAATCAGCTGAAATTGGTCTTCTGATAGGATTTTGCATATCTGCCATATCAATGATAACAACCTGAGCTGTCTCTCCAACTTTTTCTCGAACACAAATAAATTTATCTGACTCCATTGTAAGAGTACTAAAGCCAATGTTGGCTGCATTGATTCCAGCATTCTGCAACTTGTATAGAAAAATTTGTGTTCATGTTAAATCAAACTTTTGGTTAATCATTTATAAGTCAGTCATGCCTTATCAATTTATAAATATTTAATTATATCATACAAAAAATAATTTTTTAAATTATTGGAGTGCACCACTTTTACATTTAAAAACTTTGTATGAAGCTTAAAAAAAACTCTAAACTTTATAATAGTCTTGCTCCAATTATAAGTTTAAACAAATTTTTGTCAAAATTAAGCCCATATTTTATTACAATGACTGATTTTTGACTTGTCATAAAAAGTTAATGAATAAAACATAAAAGGCAGCAACTGACAACAATAAGAATGGAAATAAGAAAGTTTATGAAGTCTAAATTAGCAGCCTACACCTTCCTTTCCTATTGTACCATGGCATATGTTTTATACATTTATTGTTTTATTTTATAATTACTATATTAAACTCAGTGTGTTCATTTGTATAGTCTAATTATAATACTATGCATGTTTTATACATTTATTATTGTTTTATTTTATAATTATTATACTATACTTCTTAATGTGTTCATTTAATAAGATATTCAAAAAGTATTTAATGTCTTTAATCATTTGAGTCATTAAATTTTAATGACTCAACCTTAACCCAAATTCTATAGAAACGATGCATGACATGTGATTATGAAATATGTTTTCTTTTCTTACTTTGATTCTACAAACACCAAAAATAAAATTGACTTTCAGTTAGGACCTTTTATTTTTCAATTTTAATATTAAGTAAATTCTCTTCAAGAGAGGATGACAGATTGTAAAAATAAACTACTAAGAAGCCCATGGTTCGAGTCTGAAATAAAATAGTATATTACTTTTCACGAATAATATAATCAACAATCACAAGTATTAAATTCTAGATTTTTTTAATCAAAAAAATAAAACCCAAGACATGATGCCACTAATCGGATTTTTTCTCATGTATACAATACTATGAGATAAATCAATCAAACAATCAGTCAGTCGGCCGGTTGGTCAGTCAGCCAGCCAGCCAGCCAGTCAGAGAGTAAATAAATACCTGGATATGCTCCTGGAAGCGTATCGGTAAAATCTGAGTCATTTTCTAAAACGTTCCGGCTTATTTACAACCAACCGAACGCGTAGTTACGACGTCTAACTTTGAACAACCCGAAAAATTGAACAAATAAATATAAGATATGGCGTGTCACAGAGGCGTCACTGGCAAATGGGTAATTCCGAAAAAAACCAAAGACAACATAAACGTTGTCGAATTCGATCCTGCATAAATGAGGTAGATGAGCTAGATAAATTAGGATTGGAATGATGTCATGCAAAAAAGTTAACATTTTAGGTTAGCTGTTAGGTCCGTACAAGAACACGGTAGTAAAAACACGGTAGTGGGGTAGTAAAAAGATGCAAAACGTTTATAAAACCTGATATCGTTGAATTAAAAAATAAGCTTTATTACTTGACCTCGTTATAATATTTTACTTAACCCATTAGCGTTCAGCGTTCAGCTAGGAATGCCGTGTCATCAACGCTGATCTTGCTTCTAGTAAAGTTTATTATGTTTTTCATTTTAAACTTTTCTGGCTCAGTCGACTTACATTTATATACTTATAATACTTGTATGATTAAACGACCGAAAAAATAGGCAATAAAACATAGATAATATTGAAATCACTTCACCATTATTTTCATGATCCAAACCGAATAACTTGAAAATTTTGTCTTGTATCACGTTCCTGATTCCGATTTTAACATAAGTATGTTTTAGGCACCTTCTGGGTTTCAAACCAGGTAATCTTACAAACCTACACAGTGCACATGTTTCCAAGTCGATACGGTCATGCCAGTCCATATTTGTTGTTTTGCATTTTTTTTTTATGCTTCAACTATTTCAGCCAATGTCGTCTCTTTATCTCTTGAAAATAACTATCCAGCTACAAACTTTTCACGTTTCCATTAGTTTAGACTTTACGACTTTTTCAACCACTTCCATTTTCAGAATTTTTTATTTCATTATTTTTCACTAATTTAAAAATTTTTGTCATTAGTACCCAAGAAAAGAATGTGGAAGTTTTTTATTTTTTATTTGATATTTTTTGGGCCCAGACACTCTGACTGAGCTCGGAAAATAGAAAATAAGATATGCAGTTTTAAGGTTGCCATGCCTTCATTAACAACAGATAAATCGCATACGGAAATTAGTAAATACACTAATAACTTGATAATATACGGTATATTATGTTGGTTATCACTTCGTAAAATCTTTTATTGTTATATATTACGTACACTCCCAAACCTACTAACCACATTCCCAAAACCCATTTCGTCGCTTTTAACCATTCTTATATATAAGCCTACTTTAGATAAACAAATGCATAATACATTGATTTTTCAATGAAACCCAAATTTATTGGATAAGAAATGAAAGACTGTCTGAAAATCTGTACGAATCTACCAAACAAGATAAAAAAATACCAAAAAAATAGATGGTAAGGTTAATAATTTTTGATAAGGACTGGGAGAAAAACAGCCAGTGGAATAAGGCGAACTTTGAAAGAAATTGCTTGAGATGGGCAGACGAAGGAAACAGATCAGGGTAAGAATCGGAAACAGGCCTTGGATAGAGAATAAAAAAATGACCATATTAACTGATGTTGAATTAACAAGCAATAGAAACATGGATATTATATATATCCATGAATAGAAATCCAAAATTGATTTCGATTCTTTTCAAACTTTTCTCAAATAAATTTATTTAATTTAGATCTGTTTCCCAATGCGATTACCATTTAATTTAGACCTCTTTCTCAATGCGATTGCCATTTAATTTAGATATCTTTCCATTTAGCGTTTACCATTTTCAACATTTAGTTTTCGTTGGAATGATAAACAATTATGGTCAACAACAGTCCTATTGCGAATAAAGATTTTTTATTGTTCGTTCGATTTGCGTCTGATCATATTCAACGTTAATATTATTTTGTTACGTTACTAAATCAGTATTAATTGAATCATTTTTGTTGAAAGTAAATGTAAAAATCAAAATGTGATCGTAAAATCATAGTATTTTTTATCAATTTAAAATTAAAATATTAGTTTCATCTTTTGAACAAAAGGTGCATGATGAAGAATTGTCAAATTGAAATTGAAGAATCTTAACAAAAAATTTCAAATTTATTTTTATTTCAAATAATAAAGTAAACATGCATAAAGCTCACGAAAATACCATTTAAAAAATTTGGTTTAGTAAATTTGTATGCTGATTTTTTTTGTTCTTATCTGATCACTAAATTTAAATTTTGGTGGGGGCAAACAATTTCAGAAAGTTTATGATAATTTATAATTTAATTAATTTACTATGTAACTCACTTAATAACTTAAACTAAAACTCTTATTTAACAGTTTACAATTTTTCTAATTTCAGAGGTAGCATAAAAATCTATGTTTTTATTTAACCTAGAACAAATAACACAAAAATATATATTATATTATATGTATTAATGAGATATAAATTTTATACTGAATAATATTAACAATTAATTGATTTCACTATATTTTATAACATTAATGTAGAATAATTTTACTAATGACAACAATTATTATATAATATATATTGACTGATTTAAAATATTTTTTTATGTTATATTTAAGTAAAATTATAAATCTAAAAATGAAAAATTTTTTTAGGTGTCAGAAATTCTTGACACAGAAAATTTTAAATTAGAAAATTTTAAATTATGGAGTCTGAAGTTTTTTTTATTCTACTCTGACATCCTATATGTCAGATGTGGCTTTTTGGTGTGAGGGGGGCATTGGTAACTATTTTACCTTTGGAGAGCCATGCATATGGGACAATTTTTCCACCATTGACTGGGGAATTTTTTAATTTTAATTTGTGTGGCGTGTGGCTGACAACCATTTTTTTTGGTCATATTGTCTGGCTAACAACTCCTTTTTTTTGTTATTCAATTTTATATTTTTTTATCTTTTTCATTTATCAACATACGTACAAAGCCTCGCGAGCTGCATAAAATGACCCTTGGGCCCCTGCTGTATGTGCATAGAATAAAGATAATGTATATAAAAAAATTGAAAGTTATGTTAACAATTATTTATGTCTTGCACAACAACTAGTTGAATTTTTAGGTGTATAACACAGGTCCAAAATAAGCAATTAATCGAAAGCTTTACAACAAAGAATGAATACTATATTTACATTTTTAATGACTTCAAAGAAAATAAAAGCAATAAATAAATTCAAAAAATTATTAAAGCATGATGAAATACCCACAATTTTTAGCATTCAATAGAGGATTTTTCGTCGTTTGTGCATTGCATATTTGGGTTCAAATAAGTCCAAGCACTTTATAATATTATCATGATATAAAATGGATAAAAAAAAAATGGGTGAAACGAATTAGTTTAAAGATATTTACATTCTGGACAAAAATTTGCAGAAGATAATAGGATAGTTTGTAATGTAATGATTACACTCTTTGGTGGAAATTAGCACCAAATTCAATTTAAATACTGCACATAAGAAAAAAGTGAAAAAATGAATTGAAAAATAATTATGCCCTGCACAAAAACTTATGATAAATAATTCAATAGTTAATTTCATACTGCATTTTTAGCACTTTTTAATACAATCTTTCAAAGAACAAATTGAATATTTATAGCAAATTAAAAATTTGTTGCATTCATATGATTCTTCATGCAACTATTTTTGAATTCTATTGAACTGAGTTGGTTTTGTTATTTTGTGTTAAATATTAAATTAAAACAATGAGAACATTGAATAAATATATAATATAAATGTATAATATTAATTAATGAATTTTTTCTCATGTTTAATTGAATGATTACCAAATAAATCATTGATTTTCATTATAATTACAGCACTCTACGTTGAATCTATCTACAATCGTCCAAACCAACCCAGCTAACTCTCAAATCTCAACACTGTCAAAGTTGAAAATTTTTTGTAACGGTACAATACAACTGAAGAAACGTGTGTGCAGTTGAAAAAACTTTTGCTTGGATTGGGAATTGTGTCAGTATCAGTGCCTAGAGTTTAAGTGTGAAAGTTCTTTACATTGATTTCTTAATTTTATTAATTTAACATGAAGATTTAAAATAAAAATACTTTTGCATGCTCGCTTTGCTTCAACACACAGTTTTATTTTTAATTTGAAATTTTGCTTGTGAAAGGTTTGTGTAATCATTTTAACATGTTAAAATGTTAACATGTTATGTTAAATGTTATCATGTTAACAAATTTAGCAGGCCAAATAAATACTAATTTATTTTCTAGTTTACTGCTAAAATAAATCTGATTTAATAGTTTTTTGATCTAGGAAAATAACCACATCAGTTATATCTGATCTTGCTCTATCTATTAACAGTGAAATGTGCAACTGTTTTTAGAGTTACAAAAATTTGGTTGATGTAGTTATCATATTTTAACAAAAATGTAAATATGATTTTGATTTTTTTTAATTAACTTTTTAAAATTATTATTTGCAGTTTAATCATTGAAATTACTAAGAAAATTCATGCAAAACTTGTTGCTACATGGTTAATTGTTATTTAATTCTTACAATTACAGAAAGGTTCATTATTAACTATCTCTGGTGACCTTAGTAACATTTACTTTGATTGTTGTGAAACTAACAAAATCAACTTGACAACTGCACAGCACTGCACTGCCATCCATAAATGATTGAACACAAATTAGTGGAAGTCAAGCCCATTTCTACTCAACCTCAAAAAGTAATTTTTGTAATTTTGCTGGAGTTGTGCACTTTTTTTGGGGCGGAAGCCTAACATAAAGCTTCTTATTAATAAACCTTAAATAATAGAGGCAAACTTTACTGTGAATAAAGTATGGAAACAGTTCTTGCTTCCTCGGTGATCTACAAACAATCATATGACTACGCAGAGCAATTACAAAGTTAATAATATATCACTTGAAAAAGCTATGACAATACAAGCAGTTTTTATCAATTACAATGACTAATATAAAAAAACGTTCACCTGTTTATAACTTATCATCAATTGAATAAAGTATTATAATAGGACATATTTGTATGAATTATAAAGGCTAAACTAAAGAAAAGTTCACCGGATGAGTTCGATGAAGTAACTTTCAATGATGAAGAACTAAATTCACCTCTTTTCAACAGTATGAATGTCAATTGTCAGACAATCGGCAACAATTTCATTGGTAATTATGATTGTTCATTATGACCTTGAATTTTTGTTACCCCTATTTATGTATTTTACCAGTATTCAGTTAGTTCGTATTCAGTCCAGGATTTTTGTATTTAAATTTTTTCACCTGTGTAGTGTTTATAAACACCTGCTTTATTATTTCTGCCACTATGTCTATCTTTTTGTTATTTCGATTCATAATAGTTAATTTTTTAAACTTAGGTTTGGTTTTCTGTCTTCTAATGCATTTCATTTAATTGCATTGCAGTGCAGAGCGCCTCTGTTAAGTTATCTTCAGTTGATGTGTTTTTAGTTCACAAATCATAATTTGGTTATCATTAATATATTTTAGATGATGCAGAGGAACTGATTAATCACATGACCGGCAGTCTGCTTGTTGAAATGAAGGCAAAAAGTTTTCCCCTTGTAAATCAGAGAGAGGAGTTGCTGGTTATTGTTTACTATCTTCATACTATTATTTAATTAACAACTAAAACGTATCACATTTTAAGCCGCAACATGAATATACAATCATCTGTAATGCTGGTAGGTGCTGCCAAATGCATTTTCCAATCATTTTCAATTTTAACAATTTTAAAGAGAAAAAGATTTTTAATAGCCACGCTCTTTTGTGTAAAGTAATTGTAACAATCATTTTTTACTCGCTAATTGTCAATTTATAAAAACAACTTGAACTGTTTGGCGTCGACTTTAATACTCAGAGAGCATATTTATTTATTACAAACTTATTATTAGCTTAAACATGAACGCAGCTTGTTTGTCACATTATTAATATTTAAAACGTATTAAATATTGGTTTTATAATTCACCCTTGAAAATTATGATCAAATTTTTAGAGCATTATTTGAAATATTCATGCTTACAACCGTTTGGTTTTCCGCATGCAAATATTTTAATGTTAGAAATACATTTAAAAATGATGTTAAGTCCAGAGATGTAAGTCCAGAGAAAGATATTCGTGAAAAGCATTCATGACTTTTTTTATATATCACTAAACATTGATCGGTGTTGATAGGTTTAAGATAAATTTATTTACAGGTCAAAGACGAAAAAGATTTTATTGATCAGCTGAACTGCTCTGAAGGTAGCCAAGTGAAAGTTGTTTCCATATTTGGGAACACTGGTGATGGGAAATCTCACACACTTAATCACACGTTCTTCAATGGGGAACCTGTCTTCAAGACCTCCTCTCATCAGAATGCTTGCACGATAGGGGTGTGGGCTGCATATGATGATTTACACGGGGCAATCATATTGGATACAGAAGGTCTTCTTGGTGTTTCAGCAAATCACAATCAGAGAACAAGATTACTCCTTAAGGTTACATTTTCGAGAATTTTAAATTTTTTTGAACACTTTTCTTTATTTTTTGTAGACAGCAATCATTTTATTTTTTGAAATTTGATGTTCTGTTATCACTTTTTTCAACGTTTTTCATTCCTTCTAACCTTCTAACAGATTCTGGCAATATCTGATGTGGTGATCTATAGGACAAGAGCTGAACGACTGCATAGTGATTTGTTCCAATTTCTTGGCGATGCTTCTCAAGCCTATTTGAGGCATTTCATCATTCAACTGACGGCTGCATCCAAGCGTCTTCATTTGGATTCAAATGCATACACATCTCTTGGACCAAGCCTCACCATATTTCATGAAACATTGCACACAGATATTCTTGCAAAAGGTGTAATTTAAATTTTTCAATTTCTGAAACTGATCTCTTAAAGTCTATGGGTGGTTAATGAAATTTTATCATTGATGTTTTCAAGTATTTTTTTTAAAACTCATGTAAATGGGTCTCGAGTAAAAGTATGTGAGTTTGAATGCCACTACGTGGTTTCAAGTGCAAGTACATGGGTTTTAAGTAATTTAAATCACCCCTGGAGTACAACTTGATGAAATCTTGAAGAAGATGATTACAAAATTGTAATAAATAAAACTTTTGAATAAGATTAACAAATTAGGTTTTTTCAAACTGCTCAGATTTGATTTAATTAGTTTATTTTCGTAAAATAGATTAAAATTTATTTCTGTTCTAAAATAATGGGTTTGTCTAACTGTTTATAGCTTTTATTAAACTTTTATAATTTTTTTTACAAAGATTATTTTAAAAAGCAAATTTAAAATTTTTGCAAAATTATTGATTGATTTTTTTGTAATACTTAGGAGCTACTGAGCCAGCCGAAAAATTTATCAGGGATAGATTCCATGAGATGAATTTGAGTTGCAATGCTTTTTCTTCCATTCATTATGTGGGAACAAAAACTTCGCGTGGTCCTACAAACTTCTCAGGCCTCCTGGTGTCAGTCAAAAAACAATTACTAAATAACGAAGTTAGATGTTCCAGACGACCTGCAGTTGTCTTTCAAACTCTTAAGGTCTCTTCATTTGATCTGCTGTCATGTATATGTATTCACCTATATTATGTGTATATATATATATATACTCCTCATTTATGTGTATATATGTATATACTCCTCATTTGGTTTTACAATCTAGGCTCCGACGATGGACGACGGCCGAAACGGCCGTCAGCCAAACTTCACAGTTTAATAAAGTTGAAACAAAACAGCTTCGTGTTGTTGAAATTTTATTTAAAAAACTTCTAACTGCAAAATGGGGTGTAATCTTCAACCGTACATATATATATATATGTGTGTGTGGGTGTGTGTGCATGTGTGTGTGTGAATTTTTAATTTTTCAATAAAATATAATTTTAAAATAGCGAATTAACCTCAACATTCATATATGTTTCAGATGTGTAGAGTCCATTTTTATAAATGCGTTTGGATATTAAACTCTTTTTAAAACTTTCATTACACAGATTTTGAACGATAGGTTTGCTGGAAGTATTGACCAGGAGATCCCAAACATGTTTCCTGATCAGTATTTCACCTGCAGGATCCAGTGTCTTGCATGCCAGTATGTTTGCTGCAATGCACTAGGCTTTAAAAGTTTCAATTCTCTTTTTGATGTCTTTATATTCTCTCTTTCAAATGCTTTAATTCAGGGCTTCAGATGTTTCAATGTGAGTGCCTTGAATGTATTATATTAATATGCAAATTTTTTCTTGTTTATTTTAAATCAACGCGAATTTGTTTTATTTTTATTCGTAATAGTTTTTGTTACATCAAATCACTGAACTACTTCCTTTATATTGAAATGTGGGAGAATGTCGTTCGTACTAATGCTAATAGTTTTTTCAATTCCTTCAACCAGTTCAACCATTTATTTCCTCCTGACGTTTAAATCTTTTAAGCTGTCTCTGTTGTTTGTTATAATTTTCTTCAGTTATAAGCAGATGCTTTTTTTGAAAATTCATCATCCCGCGGGCAAGAATTTTTCTTTACATGATGAATGACCCACTCACACACAGATAGCAACAGTGATACATAATAATCAATTATTTTCTCTAAATACGTTATTTAATCTATTGTCTATTTGAAATGAAAGATAATGAAACGATCATTCGGTGCAAATTAGTGAAATCTGATTGTCAAAATCTTTAAATATAGATCTTGGAAGGTTGAGAAAAGTAAATAAAATGGTTGAAACACTGGAATATGAGAAATAGTTGTATCCTTACTAGGGTTATGTCCAAAGGACATTAAAATATGGTTTTCTTAATGACATCTCAATTTTCAATATCTTTTTTAATATTTCTGTTTCATTAAACATTTTTTTATATTATAAAAAAAGAAAAATTCTGGATGTATGAAAGAAACATTGTGCCTGGATGGGTCAGATAGATAAGATAGGAGAGGGGCTGATTGGCTAATTTATTTCAGTGTATAGTATTCAAGGAATGAGCATTTTCATTATTGAAATGCATCCACTGTGTTGCATCATCTATATAAGTGGCCGCTGTAAAAAGATTTTCATAAGCATTTAAAAAAAATGGTTGACCGTTTAAAATGTTCTTGATTAAGTTTGTAATTTAATAAATGAACGAAATGTTTGCAGTACTCGTTGCGTGCATACTATGAATCACTCTCTGGATGAGCAGCCCCACGAAGCGCACCCAAATTCGAAATGCATACATCAACCACAGTACCAAAACACTGTATATACTTGTAAGGTCAGTTGTCTTTTTTAATATATTCTGTTTTTCAATGGTCATCACGTTCTTAATGATGCATTAGCTCTTAATTTATATCATTGATCTGTCAAAGTTTTTACTGAAGAAATCATTTATAGACATAAGTTCATTTTGATGTTTTAAGGCAAAAATGTGAGTAATTCAGTTGTAGAAACAATTTTGAAGCCTTGTTTTACGGACTGGAAATGTTTGATTAGGAAGCTTATGCTCTGTACAATGGATAGGCCGTCGAAAAACAAGAATTGCTCAGGATATGAAAACATTAAGTTGATTGCCAAACTTTTAAAAATTGGATGAATTTTATTTAGAATCTTTGATAAACGACTGCAGTTGTCTATTTCATTGATCATCTGAAATTCTTTATGTAATTCCGAATTTATTTTAATTAAAATGTTGCTACTGCGATGGATCTTTTATATAACAAAGCAAGAAATACCTTCCATTCTAGTATAACTTTTTTCTTTGAAACCTATTCCGTCCCACTTTTAAGAAGTGTGTTTTCAACTTTTCTTCTACAAATGAAAGAAATAGAAAGAATTGTAGAATTTCAGCCAACTATTGAAAATTGCTCAATTGTTATAATTTTCCAGTTTCTGTTTACGTGCCTAATATAAAATGTTCATTTAAAAAAATTCTGAGTAGCATAATGAGGTTTAGAAAAGGTTGTAAATCACCGTTTTATATTATTAGTGCAAAATATTTGTATTTGCAAAACATTTGTCAGCTAGATTTGCTTGACCAATTTATCATGAAGAAAAATTTTTTGAACTAGGCCTGTCACAAAAGAGGTCAGACTGTGATTGTTGTTCCAAAGACATCTGCATCAACCGAGAGTGCTTGGTTGAGTCTTGCTAGCTATGCATGGTCTGGGTGAGTATGATTTCTTTTGATTTGCTTTTTAATAGCTCTTAAATAGCTCTTAGATAAAAAGCTAATTGCTTTTCTCTTTTTTCTCTAGCAATTTCGTAATGATAATTTTTCTATTTTATTTTGATTCATCTTTCAACTAGTGCAAAGTTAGCTATTTTGATTTACAACATTATTCTTAAATGTGTGTGCCTTTTATACTATATTTTCTTTGATTTCTCCTAAAATATAATATAATCATTATAATCAAAAGATTTACTAATTTACAAATCAAATTTAAAACGTAATATGATTAAAGCATTTATCGCAAACACGCGGTTTAAGTCACGTTTGACTGATCTTTATGCATAACAGTTTATAACAATTAGGGCATTATTAAACTAATTGTGCTAATAAAAAAAAAATAGAAAATATGTTTGAAAGTTTATTATTATAAATAGAGTTTGTTAACTGATGTCGCCTGCGTTTTTGTCAGTTGTAGTTGTGAGGGCCACATAAATTGTATTATAAATATGTGAACGCACAGATATGTGCTGGAATGCATAAATTGTGGAGTCATTTATAGAAGTCGACAACACTGGTACGGCAATCCTGAACCGGAGAAGACAGTTGTTCGAACAGAAATTCACCATGTTTGGCCTGGAGTTGGTTTCATCCTATGGCAATTCGAATTATTTTAATTGACTATTTATCTTTTTATGAAATTAATTTGCTGGAATTATTCGTAACTATAGATGACAGTTGAACTAATTTCCTATCTGTAACAGGGTAACCTGGTTTTGCAAGGTACGCACAACGCTGCCCGTCGTCTGGTTGATGGAATACATTACGTTTCAGATACAATTGCTGGCGTAGGAGCAGGACCCGCCAAGGTACGCACTCTCCATTTACATGGTGCTCGCTACTCGTATTCACTTTATTAGTATCAAATGAGATCTTCTACAAATTAAAGGTTTTATTTAATGTATTAAAGTTCATTGGAGTTTCAATAAAATTTTTATTGTTTTTATTTAAAGATCATTTTTTAGATTATTTTTTTGAGGCTAGCACTTCCCCACCATATCAATAATGATGCCAAAACTTGTCTTCATTCTTTAACACTGACGATTATTATTTGTTGGATGTAATCTTTTCTAAATTGTGTCATTAAACCAGTCACTTTTTGGTTGCTTTTTCCTCATACCTGCTTACATACCTACTTACATACCTACTTACATACCTACTTACATACCTACCTACCTACCTACCCACCTACCAACCCACCTACCAACCTACCTACCTACCTACCTACCTACCTACCTACCTACTTACATTACTGATGAGTTTCCCGTTAATTCTCTTTTTATCAGTAATGTCGTGTGTATTTTTCTTAATAAATTTTTTAGTTGTTCATTTCCCTGGAGAGTTTCATTTTTATAGAAGCAAATAAAAGTCATCACCATACAACCATCATATGATATATGTCATGAATTTAGAGCCTTCTGCCAAACGTCTATGTTATGCTACATTAATTATTTCTTAAGTTTTCTTTATTTCAATTTGTCGTATTTCAATCGTTTCTTAAACCAAAACTATTTGTGGATTAGTCTTTAGAAGTGTCTCGTTACATCAACCATGCTAGCTATAAAATAACCTAAAGAAGGTCATTAAATTTTTTTAAATAAACGGAGTTCATAAACCTTTTTTTACCGAGTTCGTGGGTTCGGCGTAAAAAAGGTAGGAAAAACCTGATTTAAACTGCTTGTTGTAAATATGATGATGACGTTATTATCAGTCACAACAACAAACAACACACGCTTAGACGACATTTTCCCCAAGATCGGGGGTTGCCGTTTGGCTACCTATGATGAAACCGAAACCTAACGCCATCCACATCTGTCACTCGCCTCAGTATCACGCAACCCCGCTTTCACCCTGTCCTTCTCCACCTGCTCTCGCCATCCCAATCGCGGACGACCCCTTCCTACCACTCCTTCAACCTCGAACTCCAACGCTCGCCTAATCCCGACCCTTTCATCCCTTCTCAACACATGTCCATACCACCGCAATCTCGATCTCCTTATCAATGTCACAATGTCCTCATTCAGTCCCATCGTTGACATCAGCTCTGTACTACTCCTCCTATCCTTCACTTTAACCCCACACATCAACCTCACCATGGCTCTTTCTGCCCTCTGCAGTACACTTTCCTCCTCTCTCCTCAACACCCAAGTTTCACTACCATATACCATCGCTGCTCTCACACATGCTTTATATACCCTCCCTTTCATCTTCACTGACCATTTTTTTCCACACAATACCCCACCCAGTTCCATAAATTTCATCCATCCTACACGAACTCTAGCCGTAACTGCGCTCAAACATCCTCCATCCGCGTTCAGCTTATCCCCTAAGTAAACAAAGCTTTCCACTCTTTCAATACCACCACTCAACCCCGTCCTTGCGTCCGTCCTATTAATCACACCATGAACACATTTCTAACATTTGAACGTGCCTTCCACCTTTTTCAGTGCCCACCTCACACCACCACATCTGTTATGCACCCATTTCTGACATCCTATACACAATACCGAGTTAGCCTTCACTCTCCTGTCACATACCCACAGGGGTCTATTTTACTTATCACTCGCTCCCCACCTTCCCCACTCACCATTACCTTCGTCTTACCAATATTAACTTTTAACCCTTTCTTTTCAATAACACTTTTCCATCTGTCAAATTTTAACTGCAATTCTTCCATGCTATCAGCCATCAAGACTAAATCATCTGCATACAAAATCTCAAATAACAACCCCTCCATTATGTTTCCACACACAACATCCATCACAATTGCAAACAGAAACGGTGATAACACTGATCCTTGATGCACTCCTACCTTAACACTAAAAGCGTCCGACATCCCCCTTCCAACCCTCACCTTTGTCTTTGCCCCTTCATACAGCTGCATCACAACTTTAACAAGTCTCTCATTCACTCCTTTCTTCCTCAACGCCCATTCAATGACCTTCCTTGGTACTCGATCAAAAGCCTTTTCTAGATCCACAAAACACATGTACAATCTTCGTTTCTTCTTTCTATAATTCTCCTGCAACATTCTCACCATGAACAACGCATCCACCGTTCCCCTACCAGGCATAAACCCACACTGCATTTCATTAACTGTCACCATATTTCTCAACCTCCTCTCAAGCACCCTCTCCACTACCTTCATTCCGTGCTCTAGCAATTTCACACTCCAATATGACCCACAATCTCTCACATCTCCTTTGCTCTTATACAACGGCACCAACACACTGTGTCGCCAATCCTCAGGTATACCTTCATCATCAAACAAACTGTTAGCAATTCTCATCATAACTTCAATTCCTATCACCCCACTCGCTTTTATATGTTCTGCCGCCACTTCCGAAACCCCTGTCGCCTTACCTAGTTTCATTTCTCTAACTGCTTTCTCTACTTCCTCCATCGCCACTCTACGCCCTTCCTCATTCCGTATACCATATCCCCATTCCCCCATGTACACCTTCATTTCCGTCTGTATCCGCCCCTACATGACCATTCAAATCACCCAACAACACCACAAACTCATCCAACCCCACTTGCCCAATCTCGTCAGAAACATCATCATAAAACCTATCCTTCTCCCCTTCCTTCCTACTTTGTTGTGGAGCATATCCTGATATCACCCTCACTATTACTTTTCCAAACACCATCACCACCACAATTACACCATTGCTTCTCCGCCTCACTTCCAACACCTTCTCCACCAACTCTTCTCTTACCATCACACCAACTCCTCCCGTACCATTATCCCCCTTCTACCACAACTTATATCTTCCACCTTTAGCCCCTACAAACCTTGTACCCTCACCCTTCCATCTGATCTCCTGTAATGCAGCCACGTCAACCATTCTCCTCTGCAGCTCCTCCACCACTTCCAAACTTCTTCCTGTCAACGTGCCTACATTCCAGGTACCAAACCTCCAACCCCTTGGTCTACAAGTAGTCCTTCCATCTATAGTGCCTTGCACCGCCACATTATAGAGTGGGGTGCCAGTAGCCAGACCATCCACAGGGCCTTGCACCACAACCCCATGGACTGGGTCTCCGGAGATTCTTCGCACCCTCTTCTGCCGGATACTGAGGGCCATTGTTATTTCCGTCATCATAAGTATTATTTTTGGCTAGTTTTTACGCAGGATGCCCTTCCTTACGCAACCACAGTTATAAGCGGTGGGCCTAGCCTTTGATGATCCAACATCACTCACAAGGCAGTGAGGGTCAGTTTAATGTCATAACCAGGACATAATTATCAGTCGCTTTTTTAATTCATTGCCAGGCAGTTTCTAATTGGATGGCCGACAAAATTGCTCCTCCTTACTGGGAATTGAATGCTAACATTAAGGTTTGTTTTTTCTCAGGATGTCAAAGTGAAATCAAATTTTGTACTTTTGTGATTTCGACACCTGGTTTTTTATATTTTTAATATAAGTGCAAGTAAATTTTTTTCTGGCAAATGCCTTCCAATTTGTATTGTGAAAGTGAATAAATCTGCTAAGAACAATCATTTACGTCATGTAACAGACCTGTCGAAAATGTGAAAAGTTGTTTGACGAATACACTGCCATTCATCACTGTAGATCGTGCGGCAAGGGATTCTGTGATGCCTGTTCCTCTAAAAAGCGACCTGTACCAGAAAGAAATTGGGGAATGAGCCCGGTGCGAGTATGTGATGACTGCTACGTTCTTACCAATGTGAACCATTTTAAAGGTGATCTTCTGTTATGATACAATTTCAAATTTTTGTAAACCATGATATGTAGATATGTATCATTTATTATATTCTGTTATATTTTATTGCACGTACCAACACGTCAATAGAATCAGACAGTGGTGTAGACACCAGCCAATTGATGCCTCGAATGGTCGGTGAAGCTTTTGGTAGCACAGTAAATGTTCTTAGTCAGATTGTTAACTATCCTTTAGGTATACTTTTTTGTTTTAACTTTTTAAGTTTTGAATTTGAAAAATTTAACTGTAAAATAGTGAATCAACAGATTATAACTAACAATGATTAACTAAAAATGATTAACTTATTTTTAGTTTAATTTTGTAAGTCCAGCGAATCGAGTGGATAATGGCTTGTAACGTCTGAACTACAAGGTAATATAATGGCTTTAGTAACGGTTGCTTCGTTTATAAACGATAGCCCGAAATCAAGCTCTAGGGATTGAATTCGATGGTAATAAATAACAATATGATCCATTTTAATCACGTAGATCAGTGCTTCTCGAACTTTTTGGTTCGGCGGACCGGCAACGAATTTAACAGGAACGTTGCGGACCGCCACCCAGCTTGCGGAATATATATACATATATATATATATATATATATATATATATATATATATATATATATATATATATATGTGCGAAGTGTTATCAATTTTACAAAATTTGAATCTTTTTTTGTATAACTTTATTCAAAATGAAATAACAATAAAAAATATTTCGACATTAGAAAATAAAAATTGTTGTAAAAAATTAGTGAGATGAATGAGCTTGTTTTCTATTTATTAATTCCTCAAGACGTGGCTGAAACGAAGACAGTGCCACACGTAGCGGAGAACAAACTTCCAAACAGTTTCTGTATTTTGTTTTCATTGCAGTCAAACATGAAAATCCAACTTCGCATAAATAAGTAGAAGGGAAAGGAAGAAGGGTTTTTATTGCTTCGTCAGTGAGCTCTGGGTATTCCGACCTGATGCTGATCCAGAAAGCGGAAAGAGATGATGTATTTTCAAACTTCATTTTTAGGCCTTGGTCAGCAGCAAGCTCCAAAATTTTATCTTCCAACTTAACAGTCAAATTTTCCTTATGTTCAACAAAAGGATTTCTGATCCATGTCTTTCCTATTCGTGGGTCATCCTCCGTAGGAAAATAAAATTCAAACCGTTCAGATAAGCTGGACAGATGCTCAATGATTAAGGTTTTCAAACTTTTGATGTCAAATCCTTTGCCTGCTTCATCAATGACTGTAGCTAAATTAAAAAACATTTCGAAACATTCTTTTTCCAATCTTTTTATCCAAGATTTTAGCTTTCTTTTTTGTCCTTCAATTTTATCAGCCATCGTGAAAACAGTCGCCATTTTCCCTTGGATTGAAATATTGAGATCATTTAATAATGCAAATATGTCTGACAAATAAGCCAATTTTGCGAGCCAATTGATATTCATAAGTAATTCTGACCAGATGGGCTTTTTAACCTGCAGAAACTCTGCTAGTTCATTTTTTAATTCAAATACTCTTGCGAGAACCTTTCCTCTGGATAGCCAACGCACTTCAGTGTGTAGCAATAGATGTTTATGATCAGCCCCCATTTCTTCACATAATCTGGCAAAAAGTCTTGAATTTAGTGCATTAGCTTTCACATAATTTACTATTTTGACTACTTCGCTGAGCACATTATTCAGTTCATCTGACATTTTCTTCACTGCTAAACTTTCTCGGTGAATGCAACAATGTGTTGCTTTACACTCCGATGCTATTGCTTTAATTTTAGTTACAACACCAGAATAACGTCCAGTCATTGCTGCAGCACCATCTGAACAGACACCAACACAATATTTGAAATCTATCCCTTTACCAATGATATATTCACTGACAGTTTTGAATACTTCAGAACTTGTTGTATTTGTTGGGAGTGATGCTGAAAAGAAAAATTCCTCCTTTAAATCTCCTTCGTATTCAAAACGAACATAAACTAACAAAATAGCCATATTGGCCACATCTGTGCTTTCATCCAGCTGCAAAGAATAATACTTTGCAAGTTTCATTTGTTCAACTAGCTGCTCTTCAATGTCTTCTGCCATATCGCTAATGCGTCGACCAATAGTACTGTTTGAAAGTGGAACCTGGTCTATTTTTTTTGAAGCCTGCTCACCCAGCATCTCAAAACAGACATCTTTGATGCAATCTTTTATTAACGTTTCACCAATTGTGAATGCCTTTTTCGCTTTGGCAATTCGCAGAGCTACTTTATATGAAGCTCGTAGCGCACACGTGTTTATATGGGAAATACGAAACATTTGTTTTTGGCGACTCTTCAGATCAATGCGTTTTCTCTCAAAATATTCTTTTGGTTTTGTGCAAATGTCTTTGTGTTTGGTATTTAAATGTCTTTTTAGTTTTGATGGCTTCATTGCTTCGTTCGACAAAACCTCGCTGCAAATAACGCACTGCGGTTTCAACTCTGTTCCATCGTCCATTGGCATGAAGCCAAATTGAATGTATGATTCATCGTACTTTCGAATGAAGCTAGTTCTAATACGTTTTGTTGCACACGTTTCAATACCAATTGCCTTTACGATGCCATTTTCATTGTCTGAAACTGAAGAATCGTCACTACTTTCATATATCAAATTCTCTTCCTGACGTTTCCTTTTCAAAAATTTGTCTATCGGGCCTTGTTTCGCCATGCCTAAAGTAGTTATTTTTGAATAAAATAAACTTTTACTTTCAAGAAAACAAATTAGCGGTCTTGATAACATCAAAATAAAATGAAAATATTAAAAAAAATCTGAACCAACCTGACAACAGTTCTAGCAACTTTATATATTAATTTGAATAAAATTTAATAAATTGCAAAATGAGTTATTCAATTTATATATAAATTACAAATATATTTTAATTTAGCAATAACGTTGTTAACTCCTAGTTTTACCGGGTTTTTATCAATTTTACTCTGAACATGTGCAAATAGCTGATAAAGAAAGATTGAATATTTAAGCTGGATCCGATAGTTAATTGGTCACGCGTCCTTTCGCGTTATCACATTGAATATTAATTATAGTCATGCATATGCATTCGTGAAGTTGCTTACCTTTAAACTCATCTACTAGTAATAACAATGACTTTCGCAATTGCGTTGCTGTCCAAGCTATGAATTTTCTGATTAATTTTCAAAATTTTTGGAACCTCGCCGCGGACCGGCAGCTATTGGTCCGCGGACCGGCGCCGCTCCGCGGACCACCACTTTGAGAAGCACTGACGTAGATGATTACAAATAGAAGCAAGTATTTGTTCATATGACATCTATTCGAGTAGCGCCTTTAAGTGGTTTAAGTTTTGATTATCGCTAAATTTAACTAAAGCTTTCAATTTTGAAAAATGTTCAAGTCTTCAAACAACTTCTAAAACAATGGAATTAAAAATAGTATGTTGATTTGAGGCATGCTGCCCAACAGTGTTTTTGTATCTGAACCAAAATTAGTTGTTTCTTATGTATTTCCACCTGCTGAATCCGAAAATGACATTAAAAATTACATATTAGCTCTAGGTCAAGAGATAAAAGCAAAACTCTATCCTTAAGAGTATAAATTTTATTTTTTTGGAAATTTTTTTTTATTTTTTTTTATTTTGCCTCTTGGCTATCTATAATAAAGGCACAAATAAAATAGAAGGAAAAGAAAGCCAGCCTTCCACATCAAATGATTCTGATTTAGTGTCAACAGATGATGCACCACACAGATTGAGTCAATGCAGAATTAAGTGACCTCGTTCGAGATCTTGACTTGTCACAGGAAAAGGCAGAACTTCTAGGGTCTATATTAAAATAGTGGAATCTTTTCCAATCTGATGTCAAAGTTTTCTACTTCAGGAAACGGCAACAAAATTTTTTTCGTTTTTTTTTTAGAAAAAAAATAACCTTGTTGTTTGCGTTGATATCTGTGGCTTAATGTATTGACTCAATTCGAACTATGATCCAACTGAATGGAGATTATTCATAGATTCATCAAAGCTTAGCTTGAAAGCTGTATTACTGCACAATGGAAATCATTTTCTATCAGTTCCTATTGAAAGAAACTTACAGCTCACATGAAAGAAACTTACCTAAATATGAAAACTCTTCTTAACTCAATCAATTACAACGAACACAAATGGAAAATTTGTGGTGACCTAAAAGTCTTCCTAAAAGTATTGCCATACTTTTAGGAATGCAATTAGGCTATACCAAATACTGCTGTTTTTTGTGTATGTGAGACAGTAGAGACAAAATTTCACATTACACAAAAAAGGACTGGCCTGCAAGAAATCTCAACAAAAATGAAAAAAATGTTGTTGCTGAACCACTCGTAGATCTAAAAGATGGACTTCTTCCATCCTTACACATTAAGCTGGGTTTAATGAAAAATTTTGTATAAGGTATGAACAAAGAAGGATAGGCTTTTAAGTATTTAAAAAACAAATTTCCAAAACTAAGTGATGCAAAAGTTAAAGAGGGTATTTTTGTTGGACCAAAGATACGTGAACTTGTGAAAATCCTGCATTTAATAAAGTTTTGAAGGGGCAAAAAAAACTTGGGAATCTCTCAAGGGAGTGATTTGTGGATTTTTAGGCAACAGAAGAGATGATAACTACATCCAATTGGTAACAGTACTTCTGCAAAATTGCCATCAACTAAGATGTAACATGTCCTTGAAGATTCACTTCCTCCACTCACATTTAGACTTCTTTCCCCTTTGTGGAGCTGTTAGTGATGAACATGGAGAAAGGTCCCACCAAGATATTTCTGTAATGGAAAAAAGATATCAGGGTCGTTTGAATGAAGCTATGCTTGCAGATTACTGTTGGTTTATATGTAGGGATGCTCCAGAGCTCGCATACAGGCGGAAAGCAAAAAGAGCATGATCGCGTGAAGATAATAAACATAATGATCTTTATATTTATTAGCTTTTATTGTTTAAAACTGTTAGAATGTAATCTTTATTGAAAAAACTAGATGCACTTTAAATATTATTAAAATAAGTAAATTATATGTCATATTGCTGTGTTGTGAATGAAATAAACCAAAAAATTTTTGTGTGTATCTCAGAAACTAGAGCTAATAAAAAATTGTTTGCATTTTCGTTTTTCCCACCCCAAAATTAGTATAATTTGACTAAAAAAGTTAAGGATACAAAAAAAAAATTTTTTTTGTTGCTCAGTCTATTAAAAGTTGTAAAAATCATCTTTTTCAAGGAATTGTTTACTGTTTTTTATTAGAATGTAAATATTGATACATTACATCCATAAAAAAATAATATTCTAGTTAACCATTTTTTTGCTATTTTTAATGGTGATCATGATGATCGATATAATGACAATTGACAATAATGATTGATGTGATACAGAGGCTTTAAAGGATGCCGCAAGACCAGCATATTGGGTTCCAGATGGAGAAATCAAAGAATGCTGTGTTTGTAAACTTCCGCTCAACCCATCATCATCATTGTCAAGTGCGGTTCCTCAGACCCAATCGGTGACACAAATACAAAGTATCAATGAACCCATGATTAATTCCCAAGAAAGCACAAGTCAACCATCTTTTACGAAAACTAACGATTCAAAGGTTCATCACTGCAGAGCATGTGGTCAAGGCGTTTGTGGAAAGTGTTCAAGCAATCAGAGACCAGTTAGATCTCGTGGCTGGGATCATCCTGTAAGAGTCTGTGATCTTTGCTTTGATAGGAAGGATTTATGAAATTACATTAAGAAAGCGATTTGTAACACGGTGACCGATTTTGTACATGTTCCATTTTTTAATTTGAGTACAAAATTTTCTAACACTTCTCAACTTCATCTATTTTTATCATCGTTTTGTTTCACGTTGCACATTTGGTCAAGATCATGTCACAAAACTATTATAGCTAGCTAACCGTAGCTATTTATATTTACTTTGCCTTTTGATCATTTGAGTTTTTTCGTCAACATTTTGAATGGTTCTACCGTGAAACAAACTAAGTATTTAGATATTTATTTTGTACAATAAAAATTATAACAAAAAATAAATTATTCAATTCTAAGTTTAGTGCGAGTTTTATTATCAATAATATTTTGAGGAACCATGAGTATACCTGCATTTGCATCATGTTGAATTTTGTCTTCTTGTTTAGATGATTCAAAATGAGGTAATTTTATTTTTAACGACTTTGCCATCTCAGCTAGCCATTCGTTTTGCTTGTCTAAAGTGTCTTTAAGATCTTTCATTTCCTTTTCCAATGTTAAAAGGCGTACATTCTGCACTCCTTCCTAAAATGTTAACATTATAGAGCCTGATTTATTTTAAAATACCATTAATCAGCAAGCATGATAGATGTATCACGACATATAAATATAAATTACTTTTATGATTTACATTGCTAAACCTGCTAGTTAATTATCGGTAAGAAAGCATCGTATCAGTTGAATTGTATAAATTATCCACTTTTTGTTTTCATGAACAAAATCATTTTATATTATCAAACTGACAATTTATAAACATCGCGTTCAAATGATTATAAATTTGAAATTGGAGCTGGCGATGGGATACAAATTTAATGAGATTCTCACTTTGGTTTGATCTTTCCACATTTGCCTCTTGTACTCCAAAAATAAAAGAGCTGTAGCAATGCCAAAGATGACTGCCTCTCCTAACATGTCAGCAGCAAGATCGACTGCAACATCTTCATTCAATGGTTTCACTGAGGAAACTTTGCCAAGGCCAAGCATTTTCATTTTAATTGTTGTGTCCATTTTGTGGTAAACTGAAATTTTTAATATCAATAGTAAACAAAATACAATGACAGCTTTCCATGCATAATTGTTCTAAAGTATATAAAAATCAATTCATCTTGGTTCTCTATATAAGAAAACTTTAAATGCCTCTTTCTTTTTGTTTTATTCAAAAAAATTACCTGATCAGATGTTTTCAAAATATGCAACATCATGAAAAGCCTTGAACCTCTTCAATTTTGTTCTATTTCTAAAATTACCTTATCAGATATTTTCAGTATTACACATTTAGATATTTTCAGTATTACACATTTAGACATTTTCAAAATGTACAACATTCCATTTTAAATTTCAATTAAACTGTAAACTATCATTTCAATCTCTAATATGCGATTTTTTTCTATTTGAAGGTAAAAATCATAGAATTTAGATTTAGACTCATGAGACGGTAAGACAAACTAACGCATCAAAGATTATTGAAAATAAAGATAAAAATGACATGAAAGATAAGAATTGGATAAATAATGAATAAATAACAAATATTTCTATATAAAATTATTAAGAAATATCACTATTTTCAGCTTTGATAAGTTTCTGGTTCAGTTTTTCAATATTTGGTATGGTATGTTTGTCATCAGTTTTTAACTTTATATAGAGAACAAAGTTTTAAACTACTTTTTTTTCATTCTTATCTTATACAGAAAAAGTATTTTTTCGGCAATTAAAATCGGGTTTTGTGGAGGTCGGTTCACTGTAGTATGTTATCAACTATTAGTTGTATCTTATCTTGTGACCCTACTTTGTTGGCTCCAAAATTAACTTTGTGTTCCTATTTATTGACTCAATGCTAAGTGAATTTTTGGAGCCAAAAAAGTAGGAAAGCAAAGTGAATTTTTGGAGCCAATAAACAAAGTAGGAATGCACAGATATAAGTACATAGAAGATGCAGACAAAAAATAGATCTATAATTATGGTAACAGTTACTACCAATGCAAACAAATATTAAATAAGACAATAAACAAACTATTCACTGGAAAGTTTGAAACCAAGTCAGTTTTTGATCTTATAAAACTGAAACTTTTTTTCATAAAGTAAAGGTGCTTAATGCACAAAAATGGTTGAGTAAAATAAAAGTAACACAACCAAGGGAAGGACTGTAAATTCATTTTATTTGGGTTCTTTCATGTCCAATAGTCAAGCTTTCAAACATCCAATAAGCTTGAATAAAAGATACAAAACAATGCAATTTCTATTTTTAAATATTTTTTTAAAATGTAGATTGGAAACAATCGAGGCATCAATCCATGTCAAATGTCATGGCTCAATTCAGGTAACGTATTAATACTATTAATATTAATTAAATTAAAATAATTTATAAAAAATAAAAATATAAATTAATTTTTTAAGAAATTAAATTAAATCTTTTCTCTATTGAAAATTTAAAATATATATGCTTATAGTTCCACGACACAATACATTGAATAAGTTTTTAAATGTTAAAGTTTGACAGTTAAACACTGAAAGAAATTTAGTAATTTCATTGAAAAACTTTTTAAAGTACTTTACACTGAGCTGGAGGCAAAAGTAATTTGTTCCTAAGAAAAGGGGTTGTTTTTGCTTTTTTTTTAATATAATTAGCCAGAGGTTTACTAATTTGCTTTACAGCCAAATATCCCAATTTAATCATAGGAAACGGCATTTTATAAAATTATACGATACGAAGGTTACTGAAAAAACAAGAGCACAACTTATTGTTTTGTTTACTAGAAAATCTAATTGTATGAGCCTGTCGAAATTGCTTAATAAATATTTAAATATTGTTAGTTTTTGGTTTTTGTAACGTTAACGTTGTCACAGAAAAGAAGAAATTAATACAGATAATTCGACAGGGGCTGTTAAAGTTTCTGAGTCACATCATGCGGAAAGATTGCAAGGTAAAAAGATCGCGGTCAACAACGAACAACATTTGTGAAGTCTTTGTGTAACTTGTTGAATATCACCACATTTCAACTACTACAAAGTATTAAAAATTGGGTTTTGTGGAGGTCGAATCGCCAATGTCTTGAAAGGATAAGGCACGAAAAAAAGAAGAACGTCGTCAATGTTATATGTTAATTTTTAGGACAATAATTTTTAATATTAATCAATAAAAATGTAATATCCAATCAATCAATCAATTAGTTTATAAAGCACTATTTCCGCGATGTACAACAGCATTCCTCACTAAATTTTGCAAACAGATGGGTCTTGAAATCTGCTCTGAAGCGGTGGAGAAGTCATCAGAGAAGGAGGTAGAGAGTTCCAGAGAAAAGGGCCAGAAAAAGCTAAAACAGATTTAGCAAAAAATGTGTTTAACAGAAGTTAAGAAGTGAGAACAAGACGACGATCGTAAACCGGCGCGTTTAGGTTCAATTAATATATCTGATAAGTTCTTAGGAAATAATTTATATTGAGACTTATACATAAATGTACAAATTATAAAAATTATTCTATATTTTATAGATAACCAAAGCAAGAGAAAAAGATATGGAGATATATGAGAAAAGAAAGAAGCACGAGCAATTAGACGAACAGCAAAGTTAAAAGCTTTACTTAAAGGATAGAGTGTAGAATCAGGAAGACCACACTAGAGCTAGTTACAATAAACAATCCTGGATAAGACTAACGAAGTAACAAATAAAAGAAGAGTAGGATCGTCAAGAAATGGCAAGTTTTTTTATTCTACGTAGATGAAAGTAAGAACTTCTAGCAACACTAATTATCTGAAAAAAAAAGAGACAAACTAGAATCAAAGATGAAGCCTAGATTAAGAAATCCATCTAACTCTCTTTATTCTATCTATGAATCTGAATTGATTAATTATAAATATCTACTATTCTCTAAACACTCTACTTTTCTTAGAAATTCTATAACATTTGTTTCAACATCTAAAAATAGGTGGTCTGTTCTATATAAACTTCTACATAAAAAATCCTCTCATCTTTTTCTGCTCAACAGTTTCATGACTTTTTTGTAAATAAAATTACTTCTTTAAGAACATCTAATTCTAATTTTTCTTCTCATAACTTTACTAAACTTACTACTGAATCTTTTTCTGTATTTACTCCAATAAATTTTTTAGAACTAACTAAAATTATTAATTCTATGTCGTCTACAACCTGTTCTCTAGATCTACTTCCTTCTAATTTACTTAAAGAATTTTCTTCAATATTTTATCCAATCATTCTCAAATTAGTTAATTTATCTCTTTCCACCTCTAAATTTCCTACTTCTTATATGCATTCTATTGTTATTCTTATTCTTAAAAACTCATCCTTAGATCCTACCTCTTTATCTAATTATAGACCTGTAACTAATATTACTTTCATCTCTAAAATAATAGAAAAAGTAGTTTTTAATCAACCGTCATCCTATTTAGACATTAACTCCTTGCTACCTGTATCTCAATCTGGTTTCAGACCTGCTCACAGTACTGAAACTTCTTTACTTAAAATACACAATGATATCCTTCTCTCTAGTGACAACAGTAATCTTACTCTTCTTCTTGCTCTTGACTTTTCCTTGGCTTTTGATACTGTTGACCATACTATTCTCTTGAGACTGCTGCATCTTTCTTTTAATATTACTGATTCTTGTCTATCTTGGTTTTCTTCTTATCTCTGTAATCGTTTTTCTTCTGTTGTTCTCAATAATTCTACTTCTAACTCCTCTACTCTTACTTTCGGGGTACCTAAGGGTTCTATTCTTAGCCCTCTTCTATTTATACTCTTTACTTCTGAACTACCTCGTATTATTAATAACTTTTCTTTCTCTAGTCAACTATATGCTGATGATTCTTACATTTATACTTCTTTTCCTCCATCTAATCTCAATAGTGTTCTTCATAATTTATCTCTATGTTTTTCTTCAATTTTCGCTTGGTCTGACTCTATGTGTCTTAAACTTAATCCTTCTAAGTTTGAATTAATTTGTTTTAATAAATCTAAACACTCTATTACTATTCCTCCTATTATCTTACCTGATTCTAAAACTCTTGATGTCTCTCATAAGTTTCGTAGTCTAGGTTTTATCTTTGATTCTACTATGTCTCTCTCTTCTCAGATTAATAGTGTTGCTAGAAGCTCTTACTTTCATCTACGTAGAATAAAAATACTTTTGCCTTTTCTTGATGATCCTACTCTTCTCCTTCTTGTTACTTCGTTAGTTTTATCTAGGATTGATTATTGTAACTCTCTCTACTATGGTCTTCCTGACTCTATACTTTATCCTTTAAGTAAAGCTTTTAACTCTGCTGCTCGTCTAGTTGCTCGTGCCCCTTTCTTTTCTCATATATCTCCATATCTTGTTCTCTTGCACTGGCTACCTATAAAATATAGAATAATTTTTAAAATTTGCACGTTCATGTATAATACTCAATCTGAATTATTTCCTAAGTATTTATCAGATATATTAATTGAATTTAAACGCCCCGGTTTACGATCGTCTTCTTCTCGCTTTTTCTTAACTCGTGTTAAACACTCTTTTGCCAAATCTGCTTTTGCTTTTTCTGGTTCTTTTCTCTGGAACTCTCTACCTACTTCTCTGACTACTTCTCTATCACTTGCGAAGTTCAGAGCGGATCCCAAGACCCATCTGTTCTCAAAATTCATTGAGGAGTGCTGTTGAACATCGCGGAAATAGCGCTTCATAAGCTAAGTGATTGATTGATTGAAACTTGTGAGAAACAAAGAGTTTTAGAATCAGGTAAGATAAGGAGCAATAGTAATAGAGTGTTTAGATTAGTAATAGAGTGTTCAATTTCTTTTCTATGATGGCTTCAACTGAAACAAGTATAGAAAACTTCGCTGCACAAGTAGGTAATAAGAAACGTAATCAACGCTAACATTCTCGTTTTAATAAATTTGACCACTAAAATATATATATATAACGGAAATAAAAGAATTTTTGCGGTATGCCAGGGGCTCAACAATTCTCAACATTTATAAACGGCCATTCTGTTTTCTATCGGCAATTGCGATTGAATCCGCAACAAACACTGAAAGTCAGCAAGATGGTTTAAAAAACTATCAAACTATGTAAACTTGAAAAGAAACGCACGAGCACTCACGGACAAAGAAATTACAAAACTGTCAATTAGTATACTCTATAAAATTAATATTTATGGCATAAAGTAATTGTAAATTAAGAAATACAACTACTTTGGTTTTTTAAAGTAATTTTTAGTAAGTTGTGGAAACGCTCAAAAAATCCAAAGCACTCGAACTGACCGATGACTCAAGGGTTTTGTTAGTATATTTATGTATATTTATATAGATACCATTAAAATATCGCGTTAGTGAGAAAGTCGATCACGGCCTCATAAAGTTTATGATGGTAAAAATACAACGCAACCGTGATGAAAAATAGGTAAAGCCCCGGAGAGATTCTGCACTAAAGTAGCGAAACGGTTTTACGTGCTACACTCAACATGCTCAACCACCGAACTCGCCAGTACGATTAAATCACCCAAACGAAGTTCAAAAACAGATACAAGAGAACTGCGGAAAAACATTCTGCGAGATTGAATGCTGCTACCACGTGAATTTACTTCTATCGCATTAGCAAAAATTTTTCAAGACATTTAATTCATTTTAAATTTTTTTAAAATTTAAGTCAGCCTTCAATTTGTGAAATTGACAGACGAATGATCGATTACTCACTAGCTTTTACAATATGAATGCAACATTATGAACGTCAATGTAAATGCATATATATCATTCAACGAAACCGTAATAATCAATTTCACACCAAAAAATTAATATGCAAATTTGAAGTTTTTCATAATGACACCATTGCTCATCAACACTACCAAGCATCCAGTCGTGGGCCGTAATTCTTGGCGCTATATCTGGTTATGGCAGCTACAAGGTAGTCACGGAAGTTACTATAAGAAACATCTCAGGACCAAAATTTGAGCACACTCTCCAGAACCTCAACTTTTTACCAAACCAGCATTAAAGGCCGAAAAATATGGTCATCCAACCGGAAACGTTATTATTTACTCATCATAATAATCATGCAAATAACAGAACAAAATCTTTCAGTATCACTGAATTAGTAAACAAAAATACAAAATTTATTCTTCTTCATATAAGTTTGTTTATATATTATATATAATGAATCAAAATCAATCATCAGTTTGCTCAAACATTTACAAATCAAGCTGGTCCTGTGCTACCCGTGCCTCAACCAGATTATAAAACGGTTCTCTTAAGCACTGGGGCCAGGCTATATCAACGTCTAAGCAGCACTTGTACAACGCTGAGCAATGTGACCCAGCTCGTTGCATCTATAACAGCGTACATCTGATGACCCACCTCCTCCTCTGGGTTTTCTTTCTTCTGGACAATCTCTCGAAAAGTGACCCTCTTCACCACAGTTGTAACAAGATCCACCATTGCTGCTACCACCGCTTCTGCCAAATGAACGACCACCACCACCACCACCACCACCACCATTAGATCTCTTCTCACTTGACTTTTCAGTACAATCTCTTGACAAGTGTCCTGATTCTCCGCAGTTGTAACATTTTCTGTCATCACTGCTTCTATCATTTCTATTACTAGATTCTGTACAATCTCTCGCTAGATGGCCTGGCTTGCCACAATTGTAGCAGGAACCTCCTCCACCTGAAAAATATATTTAAAAACTGAACTCACATTTCAACTTTTAAGGTTCATTACCAAAATAGGAAACAACCAAAAAGATTTAATGCCTTTACATTTACAATCAAGATTGCCTAATATTAACACTTGTTTAATATTAGTAAACATAGATACTAAGACGTATTTCCTCAAATTTAACTTTAGAAATCTCTGAGCACACATAATATTAGTAAACATAGATACTAAGATGTATTTCCTCAAATTTAACTTTAGAAATCTCTGAGCACACTTTAAAAATTAAATGCTGATTTAACGTAAATCATAGCAATCAGTGTTAACATTTAAAACAGTAAAGTGGGGATTGTAAAATTAACACAATGTCAACACAGGCAGCTCATTTGGAAGTTTTGAGGTGTTTATTAACACTAGCCATTTAAAAGACAACTAAAATAAATCTAGCCCTGCACTGTTCATAATTGCTCTCAAAAATAAATGAATCAAAATTTGTTACCAATAATCTAACTTAATGATCTTAAAAGAGGTTATTATAATATATAGAGTGCAAAAACACAAATTATTTGCACATTTTGAAATATTGGTTTCCAACTCTATGCTTAAAATTCACATGATTTTTTTGCACATAAAAGAATAAGAATATTTATTTTTATTATAGACATACACTATTTTACAAATTATTCATTATCATTAAATAAAATTAGGGTCTAATCAATTAGCTTAGCTTAGTGGCTTATTGCATTAAAATCGTCAACAGATGATTGTTTATAAGTTTGGGGATTTTATGTTGGTTAGTTGTGAATATGTCAACTAATTATAATTTTGAATATTATATACAATGCATCAGCAAAAGAGACATTTAGCAAACGAACAGCCTATAGTAATGACATCAAGATTATTAGCTCTTAGCAGTAATATATAAAATATAAAAACTAGTAAAAAACTTAATTAAATGGTATAGAAGTAATTTAAAAGATAATAGTTTAGCTTTAGTAGCACTGTTTAACCTTTCTACCTATCTCAATTACATCTTCAAATGAAATTGAAAAATATGCAAACAATAAATACCTGATCCACCGGTGCGACTTCCTCCTCTTCCTCCACCTCTGCTACCTCCGTTTCGACCATTGCTAGCAGCACGGCAATCACGGGCAAAATGGCCAGACTTACCGCAGTTATAACATTTATCACGGTCTCCCATTTTAGATGCTGTTCACAGTAAGTTTAGATTAGTTAGTTTAACAAAACTTAATCAACCCATAATGCCAATTTAATAACCATAACAACGGTAACTACAAAATATTTTAAATAACCAATGACTGAACCAAACCGACACACACGTATGTGCATACACAATACGACAAACTTATACATATAAACGTTAAGACATCGTACGAAAACGAGTAAAACAAAACATGAACAAATAAAAAAACGACGCCATATAAATTATAAAAGTAAAAATTAACGGCAAAAGACGAAAAATGAGTAGAACGAACCGAAATAAAAAACTTCAACAAAATAAAACACATACAAAAACGTAATAAGTTGAAGTTTTAATTACAAACTTTAATCTGTCGATTCAATAGAAGCTTCTTCTCTATCAATAAAATGCGTTGAACGATTAACAAGAGTCACTCCGAGACGAGAAAGGAAATAGATGATCACGTGTGCGGTAACATAAAATTTGTGGAAAACTATGAAACCTACGACAAAAATTAAGCGTTATATTATGATTATAATAATATATAAGAAAAAAATTAGGCGTTGCCAAACTTTTAATTGGCAATATCAATTGAGAAATTGATATAAATGTTTCGATTTTAATATATTTTTTACTTTAATATTGATAACTTTGGCACAAACATTTAATAATTATATAAATATGATCTAAATATGTCAGAAAATAACGAACATAATAATAATAGAAAATAACGATGTATCCGAAGCATAGAAAGCATAGGGGTTCTCTTTTTTAATTATAATAAACGCGTAACTACAACGCTACTCCTGCTTTCAAAGGATGGGGGTGTTCGATAGCCATTCCTCTCTTAAATGCATCCAGAAACGGTACAAGCCCTTTTTCCAGTTATTTCTTTGAAGTTTTTATACATTGCAATTGTATTACTGTTTTTGAATTTGTCATTTGAACATTTCTCCTTTGCCTCTAAGCACATTTTTTAATGTTTTGTCCAGCTTTTTGTAACTAGCAGAATTTGAACCTTTCACTTTCCTTCGTTCATCCATCAGAGATATTGCGATGTCATCTGTTTTCATTTATGACCTCTTCTTTGCTCTTTCACAGGTATAACTTCCCTTGCTGATTCTGTGAGAACATCTCTAAATATTTCTTGTTTAGATTTATTTACGTCTTCCGTTAATAACTGAAAACGATTCCTTATTTCAACGTTATACTTGACCTTGATCTCATCATTTTGTGACAGACTGACAAACTTCAAACGTTTTGGAGCCATTCACTCTTGATTTTCTTTAATTTTATCCTGATTTTACAAAAAACTGGGTTATGATCACTGCCACAATCAGCTGCAGGGTAACTTTTGCATTGTAAAATGGCATTTCGAAATCATCTAATTATTGTAATGTAATCAATCATATTTCTTACCTTGTTTTCGGGTCTTTCCCAATTATATTTTCTCTTTGGGTGATTGTCAAGCCAGGTGTTGGTAATAATTTGATCATTTATGATACACCATTCAATCAACTTTTCTCCTTTTTCATTTCTTTCACCTATCCCATAAGGACTAACCACACCTCATGTATTTTTTTGAGCCAAATTTTGCATTCGAGTCATCCATCATAATAATAACTTCTTGAGATTTTTTAAAGCATCATCAAGATTATTGTGAAAAGCATCAAGGTCTTCTTCACTGCTTTTAGATGTTGGCGCATAAACTTGAATAACAGTTAGGTTGAAAAGTTTTGCGTGTATTTTGACCCACAAAACTCTATCTGACACCGCCAAGAAACCTTCTAAATTTTTAGACATTTCTTTGTTCAAAAGTACATCTACTCCTCATTTGTGTGAATCACTTCCAGAATAGATTAATTTGCCTTCTTCAAAGGTAATGATACCTGATTTCTTCCACCGAGTTTAGCTCAAACCTAGAATGCTGAGATTCATTTTTTTCATTTCTTGTTTCACGTTTTCTAATTTTCCAGTCTGGTACAACGTTCTAGGTTCTAACGTTCCATGTTGCCACAGAAAAAGGTGAGGTGTATTCAACTTGTCACTATTATGTTTGCTTTGCTTTGTGTTTGTCTATGATTTTCTTGGCATCAGTTGTGGACAGAAGGTTGCCATTACTTGTTGTCATTATTTGGTGTATGATGCGTTAAACGAATACTGAGTGATGAAGTTATTATTATGTAAGAATTAAATTGAGGATCATTTTAATGACTATTAGTTTATTTAGAAAAAGTAAGACTCTTAAAATATATAACTGATTAATAGAAAATAACTTAGAAAGTATAAAATATTCAGAGATAGGGTATGATCGAATTTTTTTCAAATTAAAATAAATTCTAATAAAAAAACCTTAGGAATGAGTTAGTAACAATAAATGGGTTTTAACCTGACGACCCCAAGTAATAATACCATAAAACAAGTAAAGATAAACCAATGAATAATTAAGATTAATAAGAATTGACTTAGAAAAAAATATTTTAATTTATAAATAACTCCTAAATTTATCGATAATTTTTTTGAGATAGACAAAATTTGGCCTTTCCAGTTCAAGTTTCAAGTACCTAATAATAAAATCTAGAAAATTGGTAAACTCAACTCTGTTTATGATATAATTATTATAAATTATTGAAAAAGATTGTAAATTAGTTACGATCTTGGGTCCAAATAAAATAACCTTGGGCAAACTGTGGGAGTTGAAAAAGAGTACTAAATTTTTGTACGAATGTCGTGGTATGAAATACAATAGAAGGCTGAGGTTTTTAAATTTATCCACACTAAAGTTTCGTTGAATCAGAGGAGATTTGATTACTTTGTATAATATTTTGAATGATAACTTAAGTAGTAATTTATATCAAGATCTAAAATTATGTACAGATTCAATAACTAGAGTACAGGATAAAAAGTTAGAACGAAATAACGAAATAAGGTTAGAACAAACACGAGTAAACATGCATTTGTTAACAGAACTATGAAATTCTTTACCACAGGAAATTGTGGGTGCAAAATCCATAAATCAATTTAAAGTTCTGTTTGACAAGTTCACTATTGAGTTTGAGATTAGGTACGAATGGCGTGCAAATTATCCAGTTTGAGTGATATTTGGGTTGGCATGTGAATATGTGTGTGTACATGCTTGAGACGTGTGAGTGTGTGTTTGCGTATTACTTTTATCATTACTTGAGCAATTTAGGATTTCATTTAATTAACTAATTTTTGGGAATTTGGGTTTATGGGTGGTACACTTGCGCTCATTAATTTTTTTCTGTTATGTTATGTTCAATTTTGGAAATATTCAAATTTAATAAGTTATATTCATCAAAGAAGACACATGAACCAGTTCAGAGTTTAAAAGAATTTCCACTTCAAAGACTGACTTACCACTCGCCAATATTGGGCTATCATCTGCATACATAACAAATTTTAGATGAATACTTCAATTTGCCAAATTATTGATGATTATATTAAAGAACTAGGGTCCCAGTATAAATCCCTGGGGAACTCCGCAACTGATAGGTGGCATGTTTGATTTGATATTTTTGTTGATAACATATTGATATCGGTTTCTTAGACAACTCTGACACCAATTCCAGACTAAGCCATGAATACCATATACTGTTTATGTATATATATATATATATATATATATATATATATATATATATATATATATATATATATATATATATAATGTGTGTGTGTGTGTGTGTGTTTGTTGTGTGTTGTATACATGTGTAAAAGCATTTGTGTTAATTGATTTGATGGTTTGATAACGTTAAATGTAAGGCTTATTATTAACTTATAATATGCATGAATGATCATCAAGTTACAGTTATTCGCGGTTGTATCTACCTATATCTACCTACGCTGGCATTTATTTACTGTTAACTGGCAGCGAAGAGTGTACGTACAGCAGGCAGACGAAATGTTTTTTTAACATTCTAAAGAAATGCTGTATTTACAATTTACGTTGAACATTGATTAACGTGCATTTAAAAATTAGATATTGATTGTTATGTAGTATAGTATCATAAAACATATCGTATCATTATATGCCCAAATGAAAAGTGATTAAAAGTTTTTACCGAATTGAGTATAGTATAGTTTTCGTTAAAAATCGCTGGTAATATAAATTATAAATACACATCAAACATGCATATATCGATGATGATCGACTTTCCGTGTTTTTATTAAATTTTAAGGTGTAGTAATGTAGTTGTATTGATTTGAATGAAATTATTAAATTAAAAATTTAAAATAGTAGAATAATTAATTATTAATTTGTACATTGACTGTTCTATTGATTGCCGTTGGTTGTGATTGTCCTATCCATTGCTGTGGTTAGTTATTTTTATATGTCTCTATTAAAAATTAAATTAATTAAATTAAATTAAATAATTTTATTTTATTTACGTATAGTACATTTTACATTTCTATTAAAAATTAAAGCAAACAAAAATTAAACCCATTATCTTATTTAATTTTAGAGTTAGTATTAGCTTAATATTAATTTATAATTGTTTCAATAGCAGGATTAAAAATAATTGTTAATTTTAAAATTTTAATTTAACTGTTGACAACAGAGACACAGAAATATACTAAAAGTAATAGTAATACTAATTACTTATAATTCTAACACTAACTGTAGATATTAATTAGGCACTATATATATTATAATTATATAATATAATAATAATAATAATAATAATATATTTAATATCATTATTAATTTGTTAATTTATTATTAATTTGTTAATTTATTATTATTAATTTGTTAATTTATTATTATTATTATTATGGGGATTTACCAAAAATGTATAATATATTAATATTATATATATAATATTCTGGGACTTGGTAATTCCACTTGAGATCAAAGCTCTCAGTTACTTGCATTTGTTTAAATCTAAAATTAAACGCTACCTTTATAATATATTATACTATATATATAATACTCTGTCACTTGCATTTGTTTATATCTAAAATTATCAATCAATCAATCAATCATCGTTTTGCGTCCAGAGACCCAGTTCTCCGAGGTAGGAAGTTAAAATAACGTTAAAAGGACGTTAAAATTAAACTATACTTGATTAAAAGAATACTATTTTCTTGAATTAGTAAGTGTTTGTTATTATCGATTATATAAAATTATGTTGTTGTTTTTTTTTATGTACCTTATGTTTTTCGTGCATGTATGTATGTGAGTACGTATGATAGAATGCATGTATTGAATGAATGGACCTATGCGTAATTTTTTTTGACTTTTATATTCTATCTGTTATTATTTGAATTCAATGGATTTAAATAATTTTATTGATTATATGTATTAATAGAATTTTTGTGAGCTTTATTGGTTATCTGTGTTTTAATAGTTATGTAGAGGTGTAGTTATGTTTTGATTATCTTACATTAAATAATAATAAAACTTATGTTAACAATCATAATAACTTTAAAAAATGTGTTCCTCTTGTACCATTTATTTCGAACTAAAATATAACTTATAACTTATATAGTGGTAATTATGTTTAGATTATTTTACATTAAATATTAATAAAAATAATGTAAACAATCGTAATAACTTTAAAGAATGTATTTCCCATGTACCTTTTATTTCGAACTAATTTAATCATTGATTTTTGTTGAACTACTTTAATCTTTGATTTATGTTGATCAATGTTGATTTTATTTGGATAATTTGCATTTGATTGCTTTTTAGTTTCCCTTCTTTTTAGAAAAAAAAAAAATATAATATTAGAAAAAAAAAAAATATAATATTGCTATACTATGTATACATATATAACATATATGAACAACTGTATATATAATTATATATACAAATGCATTGCATGTTTTGTATCACTTTACATGAAAATATGCATGGTATACATAATATACTATAATTTCAATCAATCATCTTTTAGCGTCCAGAGACGCAGTTCTCCCGAGGTAGGACGTTGTTTTCTTTGCCATCAATTTTTTGCGCCAAATTAGGCGATCAGTTGTATCCATTTCATTTAAATTTAGAGCTTTCATGTCTTCCTCGATTGTTTGCGACCAGGACTTCTTTAGACGGCCTTTGGAACGAGTGCCACGTACTTCAACATCTGCAAGAGAAGTTATGGCACTGTTTCCACTTCGTTTGACATGACCAAACCACCTCAGACGGTGTTGCCGGCATTCGTCCTTTATATCATCTAAACCAACACGGCGCAGGATTTCGGTAGATTTGATGTGGTCCTTCAGACTAATTCGTTGCATCCATCGGAGCATTTTCATATCGGTTCGGTGAAGTTGTTGTTCCAGTTTGGTTGACATTGGCCATGTTTCTGTACCATATAACAACACCTGACGTATCACAGATTTATAAAGTCTTGATCGTAGTGGTAGTGGGATGTCACGCCACATCAATATAAAGGCAAGGAGATACCATTTATTCTAGGCTGCACTTATGCGTGCTCGAACGGCAGCTTCAGCTGTTCCAGTACAATCCAGAACATCTCCTAGATATTGAAATGATGTGACTTTTTCTACCTTAATGGCTTCAAAAACATTGCTATTTCGAATTTGTTGTTGTGGATTGATGCAAGCAGGACAAACAAAATTGGACACTTTAGATAAATTACCAGTTATTTTTGAACAACGTTTGTGACACTGGTTACACTGATGACACTTGATTGAATTGTTACCTACACCAGCTTTACAAACTGAACAGGGCCATCGTCCAGTAGCTGTGGATTGAATGAGTTCACCAGTGTTCATTGCTTCGATTTTGCTGATGTTGACTTTGAATTCATGATCGGCGAGTCTGGTGTTCCAATCTTCAAACATCTGTGCTGCATTCTGCTCAGACGTGGCTGTTAAAACAATATCATCAGCATATATTAGATTCCAAATGTCACCAGTGCGTATCGGTTTTGTGATTTCTTCCATCACCGTTATAAATAAAAGTGGACTGAGAATCGAGCCTTGGTGAACTCCAACGCCGATGTCAAATGCATCTGTGTTTCCAACCGTTGTGCTGACGAGAGTCTTAGTATTCGTATACATTTCCATCACAAGTCAAACAAGATATTCTGGAATGAGTTGTTGACGTAGACTCCACCGTATTGCTTCACGGGGAACTCGATCGAATGCTTTTTCAAGGTCTACAAAAATGTGTGATAGTTGTTGATGCTTCTCTTGCAGTTGCCGAAGGATGTGAGTTGCATTAATCTTCTCTCAATGATTTTCTCGAAAATTTTCAGGGAGTGTTCTAACAGACGTATGCCCCGATATGATGAACAGTTCAATGGATCACCTTTGCCTTTGTATAGTGGAACTGTTATGCTATAGTTCCATTCAGTCGGCATTGAGCGATTTCTTCACACTTCGCGGTAAAGTTGTAGTAACGTTTGGATACCTGCAGTACCAGATGCTTTGATAATGTCATTTGTGAGTCCAGAGAGCCCTGCTGCCTTTCCATCCTTCATAGCTTTCAGAGCTTCTGTAAGCTCCTCTACAGTGATGTCTGGAATCGGACCTTCGATGGGTGGAGCGTCAAAGTTGACATTGATGGGATTTGTTTCATTTAACAGACGGTTGAAGTAATCTCCCCACTGTAGCTTGATCTCATCTTGTTCAAGAACCATCTCGTTTTTGTCGTTTTTGGTACATGAGGCACCAACTATGTCTTTTTTCGTACGCTTTGCTTGTTTTGCTATACAATACAGAGATTTCATTTGTTCACCTTTTCTTTTAGTGAGCCACTCTCTGCACTGATCTGTCCGAGCCAGTGCAACTTGACGTCTTGCATAGTTGTTCTTCTCACGGAAAATTTTATGGTCATCAACAAGCTTTGATTTTTGCCATTGCTTGTATGCAACTTTCTGTTCAGCTATTGCATTTTGTACACTGTCATTCCACCACCAAGTGTCCCGTTCATGCTGGCGTTTTGTACCAGTTTTCCCACAAACTGTAGTTGCAGCGTTTATCAAAACGGTTTTGTATGTACTCCAATCTGTACTGGCTTGCGATTGGTGGTTTAACTGTGTGGCAACGATCAGTTGAAATTTTCCTCGATGAATATTGCTTTTGTTTAGACTTACGTTGTGACAGTTCGACAACCAGGTCTGCCACAAGGAGTCTATGTTGGGCGACACATGATTCGCCAGGTAAACAAAACCCGTGTTTTTCAGCAAACTTAAGGATGCGGTTGCCATCTTCATTCCGTTCTTCATAGCCAAAATCGCCATGCACGTTGTCAAAACCATCTGTTTTCTCTCCAACGTGGCCATTAAGATCGCCTCCAATCAGGATTGTTTCAGATTTTAGTATTGTTGAGATGGTGTCAGAGAACGCAGCCCATTCCAGACATAATATACTATAATTTACATATATATAATAAGATAAAGTTTCTATCTACTAGATATGCCTTAATAAAACTTGTTTTATAAATTTGTTATGATTATTATTATTAATTATATTATTTTTTTAAATGAAATGATAATCACACAGTTAACGTTCTGAAACTCATGTTCATCAGAATGATGCCACCTGCTATCGACCAATGTACTTTTTTTCTGGTTTTGCTTCTGGTTGGTGTTTCAAGAGGTATTGAATACTCAAGAATTAAAGTCAATCATAATATTGAAATTACTGGACAAGACAAGAATAGAATAGTATCTGAGAATATTACCATGCTCATTGAAAGTCATGCAAGTTAGTTACATACAAATTTTTATTACTTTTTTTAAATGGATGTCTTTTTTTATAGGTTATCAAACCAAGTTAGCATGCAAATTATTCGAGTTAATTTTTTCGATTAATATATTGAATTTTTGTAACAAAAGAAACTTGACATAAGTCTGAGCAAAATTTTTAAAATGTAAATGCAAAAAAAGAGTTGTGTATACTTAGATTTTTCTTTCAAAAGATACTTTAAAATGTTTGGCTTTGGAAGACAATATTTTGAAAACCAAGTCATTTTCTTTATGAAACTTTTTGTAAAAATTAATTTATGATTGTCTGGTAGTTGGGCCTAAATTTATTTATTTGTGGATGTTATCAATATTTTCAAATGTTTTTGGAATTATTGATAGCCAAACTATTTTATTTATTTACGTTTTTTTTTATATTTTATATTACAAGAAAATACTCTTCATCCTAATAACAATTCAATTAACAATTCATATAACTTTGTTAATATATTTTTTTACATAAAAAGAATTTTTTATGCATGGTAACAATTTAAAATAATAGAATCAGAATATCCTAGGAATAAACCAGCTATCTAAGAAGCTGAGAAATAAACTTGAGTAAGCTAAATTTATGCTAAATGAACATAGGCCGTACATAAATTGAATATAGTCTGAATATAGACTGAATATAGACTGAATATAGACTGAATATAGACTGAATATAGACTGAACATAGTCTGAATATAGACTTTTATTGAATATAGACTGAAAATAGACCCAACATAGATTCAACATAGACTGAAGCATATATTGATTGTATGACTTTCATAGTAAAAGTAAAAATTAGGCAAATGAATTAAATGTCATATTTGATTCATGTATGTACACTTAGACATAAATTTTAATAATAGCATAGAAAAGTACCACCTTGCTAATAACGATTACATTAAAGATGTGTGTGTGTGTGTGTGTGTGTGTGTGTGTGTGTGTGTGTGTGTGTGTGTGTGTGTGTGTGTGTGTGTGTGTGTGTGTGTGTGTGTGCAGGGGGAGATCAAATTAATTTTGGAGTGTTAAGTAAATAGAAATGCACATGGATTGGTTGGTGAAATCAATTGCTTGGTAGGTCAAGTGTGAGCTGTCTCATTTAAAACTATGGTGACCCAATTTGAATTTAATGAAAATCATGATAGACATATATGTGTTAAATTTTTTAATTCAGACCATGGAACTCTTTTTAGTTATACAAAGATTCCCATGGTTCAGTCATTTGCATTGTATGTATATTTCATGTTCGGTGGTTATGATAACAAAATAAGTTCAGTACCATGTTAGCTTCATTTGTTATGCCTGTTTACATATGCTTATGGCAATAATTGAGTTTTTTACAAAGCTTTTTTGACAACTAATTTCTAATGTTCGTGCAAAATTTTGGCTAAAGTAAATGATTATACAAATTTCTTATTAATGACTATATTACAATTATAAAATATTTCTAGTCAATATTACAAAAAAATGCAAGTGTATAAAATGGCAAATTGAAATAAAACATTTAGAATGAACAAATTCATGTAAGCCGTTGCAATAACCTTCTGCATATTTACATTTCACTAGGCACTTACTTTTCTTTTCCAGTACTTTATTAATATAGTTATCTAATCAACATAGGGTGTTCTCATTTGAGGTGTCTAGAAAATTAACATTTATCAATGTTGGAAATATCTCAATATCTCATTTTTTAGGTGTTATCTGCTCTGTATAATAAAAGTGTTAGGCAATAATTCTAATTTGGCTTGTATGTGACTCTTGTTTATTTGTCACATGGCATTTGATTACCAGAATGTGTAGTGTTGTTTTCAAATAAATGTATTGTTTCATTCAAATCTTTATAATAATTGTAGCATGCCACAATATTTCTCATCCTTAGATGCAAGTGCACTTTCTTGCACATATTTTGTCATTACATTTCGACGATGTGGGGTTTTTTAACGCATTACTCAGCTATCAGCAACACACACAGGCCACACACATGTGTGAATATGCATAGTTAGGTACTAGGTGCCCTTGTCTATGACGCCATTTCTCAGCCAATTAACTCTGTTCATTTTTAAACTGAACCTGTCCTGAAAATGTTGATAACTTGGCAGTGGTGATGGATCGTTAATTGTGCAGATACACATTTGAATGAATGAGTCGCAAACATTTAAATATCTAAATAAATAAATAAATAAATGAATGAATAAATAAATGGATAGATGGATGGATGAATGAATGAATGAATGAATGAATGAATGAATGAATGAATGAATGAATGAATGATTGAATGAATGAATGAATGAATGAATGAATGAATGAATGAATGAATGAATGAATGAATGAATGAATGAATGAATGAATGAATGAATGAATGAATGAATGAACGGAATAATGAATGAACGGATGAATAAATGAATGAACGAATGAATAAATGAATGAATGAATGAATGAATGAATGAATGAATGAATGAATGAATGAATGAATGAATGAATGAATGAATGAATGAATGAATGAATGAATGAATGAATGAATGAATGAATGAATGAATGAATGAATAAAACCTTTTTTCTTTTTTGACCAAAAAGCTAAATTTACTCAACATTTTAACGTTATTTTTATTATAATTGTGTGCAATGTCATGGAATGAGACTGAAAGAATGAGGTATATAACTGTTCATTATTTTTTTAAAATAGGAAAGATTTGGTCAGTAATATAATGTAATATAACATTGTTATTTTGTCAAATAAAGTGTTCTTGTTACATTTCTCAACATGTTTTTTAATGAATCATATTCAGTTTGGATTATTATTTCGCCATCTACTTTTTTCAGTCACCATTTTTTCTAAATATAAATTTATAAATAGTTGAAAATATTAATATTTAAATTACAATTTCAAATTATTTCAGGAATAACTAAACATTACCATCTGCCATTGGATCAGGTATCAAAGGTTTTTGAAATTGTTAACAAATTCGGCTTGAGTGCCAAAGTGGTTGGAAATGGTCAGCTAGTGGGTGGAGTGAAAAAGAATGGCTTCCTTTTAAGTGAAACTGGCGGTATAACCATTTTACCGGGACCAGTTGAAGTAAATGAATGTCTCTTCAATTTATCCTACTGCACTGAGGGTTTGCTTTTTTCATTTTAATTAGCGTTTATGTAACTTAATTGTTTAATTGCTAATACATTTTTCACTGTTAAATCTTGGGTTTCAGTTACGTTATCAGTTTGGTTTAATCAAATTAAATTTGCTTATAGGCATTATCTATCTATCGTTATAATCTATTTTTTATCAGACCATCATTTAAAAATTGTTGGCTTTATAAAAATTTGTTTTCCAACATTATTATTGGTGTTATGACAGTTTGTACTCAACTCCGTTTAAGAATGCTCTTTATTTGTTAATCATCGTTTTTATTGTTAATCACTTTGTTCTTTCTTCGTGTTTACTCTACAAAATGGAGTATTTACCCTTAGAATCAGCTATGTTGGACGTTTTTAGAATCGTTCATTAGTGATTTTTATAAGGCGTTTATTCAAACTTCTTATGGCACATCGCATATGACTGACGAGATTATTTAAAAGAATAGTTTACTGAATGCCGCTTGAATTAAGGATAACGCAATAAATTAAATTGTTGTAGAAAATTTAATTTGATTCCCACAAGCTCGAAATGGTTGGATCTGGATTGTACACATTCTGTTAACATTACTGTTTGCTATTAAAAACTCTATAAAATTATATAATTTTTCTGCAAAGTGTATAACTTGCAGTGTAAAACTTTGGTTCGAGAATATGAAATTAATATCTATACTTTAGTCTTTTATTAATACAGCTACCTCTTTGATACTTTTTATCACTGATTATTTGTTATATTTTTAAATCCCTTTATTTCTAAGAGTGGCGAAATAGAATTGCTCCAAACTCCATTTGGTTTAATATGATGAGATCAGTTTAATATAATTGCTTTTACTAAAATTTGTTAATTATAAATGTTGTACTTCTGAAACTAAAAAATATATAAATTTTATTGCTGTTTTTATCCTCGGCAATAAGTCTACAACAATAATTGGGTTACTGTTTTTACTGTTACTTCTGTCAGAATCTACTACTGCTACTACTTCTGCTGGTACTGCTGCTGTTTTTGCCACTATTGCTGCTACTGTTACACTTCTGTTGCTGTTGTTTTTATTTCAGACAAATAAGTCTTCATGTTGTGAAACAAGAAAGGGACACAGAGAGTCTTCTACTACTATTTATGAATTTTCATGAATCTACTACGGCTACTGGTGTTGCTGCTACTGCTGCTACTCCTAATATTACTATTACTACTTCTTCTCTAGCTACTACGCTAATATTACTCCTACAACTTTTCTAATACTTCAGCTACCGTTGTGCTAACATTTTTGCTGCTGTCACGTCACTACTGCTTTAAAAATATTCTACTTGCTACTTGCCACCACTGATGTTATTTTTGTTTAGGTTTTCTTTCATATTAACCATGATAATCATTAACGCCAAAGTTTCCTGATAACTTGCGTGACCTCCTTAAATAAAAAATAATTCAAATGGTACCTAAATTAATTGTTATAAATGTAAAATAATGGCCAGCAAGAAAATATTGCTACAATGAATGCCAGCACTATTAATAATAATAACTTGTCACAATACTTGCTTGTGTTGATGTAAACAGCTAACAATAATGTTTACAATAGTCAGCATGAGGGCAGTAATAACAGCATTTATAATGTTGGGATAGAAATATTTGCTTTGTAATTTAATGAACAATTAAATTGTTCTTAGAAATACTTGCCTGCACTATTAATGCATTGAATATTTCCTACTTGTACGTTAGCTACTAATCATATCCCTACCTACCTACCTACTACACTGACAATCATCATTATTTTAATCTTTTTGTAACATTTTGTGATGTGCTGAAAGCCAGAAGCGATAATAAACAATAGTCACCCGGTGTACTAATATAAATGAAAGGTTGGTGAGTGTGGACACCAAAACTCTGAATACATTGGGATGACAACAACCAAATTATCAAGAAGGCTTACCATGCATGTTCAGTCAGGAGCAATAAAGAATCACAACACAAAAATTAATAATGACAATAATGTAGAAATAATTCACTGCAACAACAATCCGCACTATCTATGAATCGCAGAATCTTTGCTCATGGAACAAAGATATCCAGCAATAAATATTCTACAACACACTACTGCAGTCATACCGACTAACAAAGTCAGATCTCGAATGAATTTACTTACTGAAGACACTCAGTAACAAGGTCAATATTCGAACAAATTCACTTAGTGAAGACAGAGTAACAAAGTCACTCAAAACCTATAAAAACAAACACATAAAACAAGATCCGCATTCAACACTGATGATGACAAATGATTGTAGGAAAAGAGGTTTTTATGTAAGAATGTACATAAAAATTCAAGCGAAAATGCAAAAAATTAATAAAAATTTTGTTTATGCACTGAACAGACTTGATATTGAACTTAAATTCGTCCTACGCGTCCTACGAAAAATTGAAAAAATTCAATTGCAAATTGAACAGCGCATGCATTGCTGTGATATTTTTAAACAAATGCTACATATCAGATAGTCTCAACCCAATATATAGCGTCGAAATAGACCTCTGCAATAATTTTAATGAAATGTTTGTTAATAAAAATAGTGTTTCAATTTTTAAAAGACACCACTTCGTTGATAAAAATTTACTAAAACAAATTGAAAAATTCGACTTTAAGTTGATAAACACTAATAAATCGGTGAAATTTATTACATACTGTCTAGAATTTGGTCTTCTTCTAGCACACACACACACACACACACACACACACACACACACACACACACACACACACACACACACACACACACACACACACACACACACACACACACACACACACACACACACACACATATATATATATATATATATAATTATTATTATAATTATATATAATAATTAATGAAAATCACAGCATGTTCGGCGTTTGTTAACTTCCAATTTAACTTTTCGATTTATTATGAATATATATATATGTAAAGGAGTAATGATCTTTTTAATAAGAAAGTTGGATAGACAATCATCGCTAGATGATCGTGAGTTACTCATAGCGTTGACTAAGTTTAAGATTTCAGTCTCATTTGTTTCCGTCATAAAATACATGAGCTTTATATGATACATGAGCGTATACGTTTGGTCGGAAGTTAACTAACGCCGAACATGCTGTGATTTTCATCAATAATTGCATTTTATTACATATATATATATATATATATATATATATATATATATATATATTATATATTATATATATATATCGATTCTCATCAGTCTTCGTCTTCTGCTATTGTTTGAAAGCTGCTTTCTTACTGGCAATAGCATTTTCCACGTCTCGTTCCACCACCAAGTTTCACGGTTGTGCTGGTGTTTTGGTCCAGATTTTCCATATACAGCTGTTGCAGCGTTTACTAGGGTGTTTTGAAAAGATTTCCATGTTATGTCTACCTTCTCTAGACAATCCAGCTGTGCCAATACCAACTCCACGAATTTCCTCTGAGCATGGGTTTCTTCAGTTTCCATGTCTTTATTCTAGTTGACATACGACCAGTCACAGGGCGTGATCGTTCCATAATCATATCGGCCACCAGCAATCGATGTTGAGGGTTGCATGCTTCGCCTGGAATGACTCTTGTATTTTTAAATAGTCATCTCTGTTGTTGTCCGACGACAATAAAGTCAATTTGTTTGCATGACATTCCGCTTTTATGTGATCAAATGTTCTGCCATCTTCTTGAAATAAGTGTTCAACATGGAGAATTCATGGCTTTCAGCAAATTCCAGAATCCGTAAACCGTCTTCGTTTTGAGACCCGTAGCCAAAACCTCCATGGACACCGTGCAACCAATTTGCTTTATCTCCAACATGGCCGATGGTATCTTTGATTATGGTGTTTTCCTGACGGCATCAGAGAGTATGTTCCAAAAGTCATTTTTGGCGTCTTCAGATTCACCGGTCTGTGGTGCATATGCAGAAAAAACAGTCAGAACCTGTTTTCCAATTCTGAATATAATCAACATTAAACATAAGCTGATTCGAGCCACCTCTAGCACATTTTGTGCCAGTGATTCCCGTATGAAGATTTCCACTCCATTTTGGACTGTCTTTTGGCCATTCCAGAACAACTTGTCACTCCCAATGAGAAAGACACCATTTGATTTTCATCTTGTTTCCCGCAGAGAACAGATGTCAACCTTTCGCCTTTCCAGCATGTCGACGATCTCCACGGAGCGTCCAGTAAGCCATTTGGTATTTAATTTTAATATTTATACATCTCCTTAACAGAGATCCGCAAAAACTATGTAGCTATACAGATGATGGCAGCTTATGCTGATTAAAGCATTTTTGTGTTCTTAAATATGCATTTAAAACTTGTTAACTAATAATTCTAAAAGCAAAGATTTATTGAATCTTAATAAACTGATTAATAAGGATAAAATACTTGTATATATATATATATATATATATATATATATATATACCTTCTTTTTAAAGAACACAATATATATATATATATATATATATATATATATATATATATATATATATATATATATATATGAAGAATATGATGCTATCGATGAAGAAAAGGAAACCAAAGAAGATGACCAGCCAATAAAGAAACCTGACACCTAATTTCCATCTAAATTCACTTTGACAAAGTCAATCTCCATCTAAATTCTTTTTGACAAAGTCAATATCTTCCTATATAAACAGCAGAAAGCACTGATGATGATTCATTCGGAATCGAAATATGGCCTTATTTGCAGCCTGAATTCGGAAAATAAGTTTATTTTGAATTTTAATAAACTAAACGTTTACCAAAAAACTTTAGTGAAAAAAATTGAAAAAACTAACGCCAAACATTCGGTAGAATTTATAGAATATTGTAATATATATATATATATATATATATATATATATATATATATATATGTGTGTGTGTGTGTGTGTGTGTGTGTGTATGTATGTGTGTGTGCATATGTGAGTGTGTGTGTATGTGGATAAACAAAAATCTAGAAATTGAGCAAAACATGTTTTGATTGTTTTGTTATGATATTTCCATATTCTACACCAAATTAATATTTAGTTAGTTAGTATGCACAATTATTTCTACAGACTATTTTATAGTATTGTTTAAATGTTACTGGGCGTGTCCATAAATAAAATGATCAGTGTAGAGACTTTTCAGCGTTTTTTTATTGCATGCTTGATATATGCGTTTCTTGTTTTCTAAATATAAGCTCTGTCTGTTTTTAATTTTTAAACGTTTTTGCCAATGCATATTTTAAACACTTTCATGATTAGAATGCATTAAATTGGTTTCATATGCAGCCAGCCGGCCAGCCTATAACTTTTCCTTCCTACCGACAAACAACCTACTGAAAATTAATTTCTTCCAATTATGAAAGGAATGCATCTTTTGCATTTATTTATGACGACATCTCTTCTGAAGAATCTCCTTTAATGTTTTCCATTAAAATTTTCAATATAAAATTTCATTAGGTTTTTCATTCATCGAGTTTAAAATGATAAAAAGTGCAATAAATCAATATGAAAAATATTTTAACAAGCTTTTTAAATTTTTAATAATTAGATATTAACGCTCAACTAATTTGAATTTAATTACATTGATCGATTGATGTAAGAAAATTAAGAAAAGAGCATGATTAGAAAGGTTGAATTTGTGCTGAAGATTGCCAATAAAACGTCCAATAATAATTTTGATGGGTAGCAACAAGCATTATGTTGGATATGAATTTTGTGTGGCATCTTTTTGAAGTGGTTATCTAAAACATGTTATCGGTAGTCAGTGCCTGAGCTTCCATAAACTCATTCATATGATGTGATGTGCTGAAGCTTGGATGAATATCATTTATACCTTATTATTGCTCTCATTTTTTCAACTTTTGAATTAAAAATTTTTCAAGCAGATTAAATTGGAAAAAATGTGGATATTGTTTACATTTTTATTTATTATAAAATCACTTTTACGAATTTAAATTTTTTAAACTAAGTAAAATTCATCATAATTATGCTCACACTGATAGATTATGCGCGTGTTTATAAGATTATTATTTGCAGCGTGCAAAACTACACTGCTCAACGTACAACACATCACAATAAGTATGTTGAATTGTTTAACTTGAAAGTATTTCTCTTGCTGCTCCTGCATGCTGATGAAATCCTATCTTTCTAATAATAGTCTACAGATGCAGCTGGTAGCTTGTTTGTTACCATCACCTGCAAATAATGCAAAGTATTTGCATGCATTAGCTCAATGCACTCATTTCTCATACATTTATTTGTTGTTGATACATTGATAAAAACATTTAGTTTATTAATATCTTCACACATTTTATATAAAACCTTTAAAATTTGGTTCATTTAAATAAATGTTCCTTTAAGATTGAAATGTTTCTTCATGAATGCTGGATGAATGTATGTGATGAAGCGTAATATATGTTTGTGCATCGACGTTCATGTTTTTACTATTTTGCTTAGCATGTTTGAATGTATTTTCAAATGAACACACGACATATTGTCTGCACTTCCACTCATTTTCATCAGTTTGTGTATTGAATTGTTAAACTCTTGTTATCGGGGTTCAGTTTTATTTAGTTTAGACACTCTTTAGGACAATAGGGCTAAATATATAGTTTTTTTTATATGTATGTGTAATATGCTGTGTGTTAAATCATGTAGAACTATCTAAATAACTCGGTAAGCATTCATAACATAACTATATCCACAAATGGTCCAGTCGAAGATACAACTGAAATTATATTAAGACCTTCCTGCCATTCTTATTTCATACCATTCATTAATCCTTATGAAAATTAACTCAAGCATTCTTTAACATATGAACCATTCATAAGTCTAATGAATCACCATGAACAAGCAAAATTGACGCATTGCCATGGAGTCTCTCCGTGGCAGACTGTTTGCCGAATTCTACTATGGCCACCAATGCAATAACAGAATTACAAAACAAATTCAATAAAAAGCAAATTAAGAATCCCAATAGAACACACCAATCAACCATTTCTAAATATATTAAACATCGGCGGCATAAACTACAATGGGATAATTGAATATAACTCAGCATATGAAAACTGTACTATAAGTGCTTTTCTTTTGTTGATCAAGTTTTTACTAGTTTCTCAAGCATGGCAATTTTGGTCAGTTAAGACAAAGAGCTACAACGCATTGCACAACATATCTGCAACAGCTATTACAACAATAACAAATATGACATTCAGAATATGATAGAAATAAAAATTCCGAAATCACTAACATAGAGGCCAAAAATGACAACAATATCGCATCCACCACACCAATGCGTAAGTTGCAAGCTGTATGCTAAAAAACAATTCTAACTTTCTATACTCTTTTATATGCCCTTATTTGGCGTAACTTCAACCACTGTTTTACTGCTCGCCGTTTTACATAACAAACATTAGTTTAAAACATTTTTTGTTTTTAATGTTAATAACTCAAATGAATATTTCAAACGAAATACGAAATACTATGCAAAATTGTGAAAAACTATCTTACCTTATAATTAACCATACCGTTACTATACTAATTGGCAATGCTGTGGAATTTTTGCATACCTTTGATTCTTTTACTCACATTCATAACAAGGATATGAACAAAGTTTATAATATGTATATATAATCTCATCTTTAAAATAATATATATATATATATATACATATATATATATATATATATATATATAATGTTTGTACATATATATATTTTTTATATAATTGTATTTATGTTATTTACTGACCTATTTGTGCACTTTTGTAATATTTATGTAAAAGATATAAAGTTTATATCATATATATACAAATATTTATATATTTATATACATTAATATTGCGATATTGCTCTCTCTCTCTTTCTATTATATATAGTCCTAAGTAAAAATATACTTACTCTTATAAAGAAGTATACTAACGATTAAACTGCACGCGCGTACACAAACACTCATACTACATTGTAGTACTAATGATTCACGCTTTGAATTATTCATGCAAAGAACTGTCTATTTGTTTTAATCTGTCTGTTTGAGTTCTGTGCTGTGCTGTGAAATCATTATCCAGTGTTTCCATTAATTTTTGTTATCTTCCATTCCAGCGTACTCCTACTTTTTTCAAACTTGGCATTTTTTCTCTGTTAATTTTCGCAATCTAAAAAGGCACATCGCTACTGAATGAGTAAAGAAATTGGTAATATGAATATTTACATTAAATTAAATATACAGACATGCTATATTTTTATGTGTGTATATGTTGAAACTACACGGTTTATGTATGCTATATATATATTATCATTATTACGGAAATTTATATACAACGCTTTTAGTTGTTGAAAACTCAAAAGCGCTAATGAATCATAGACAAATCAGACGGAGGTTCATTGTGCAGATAAATAAGTTTTAAGCTGACTTCGAAATTGTAAATATGGTAGGTTAGGGTCACACACATATATATATATATATATAAATATTTTGGGACGAGTTTTTCAGCTATGCAAATTTCATTGAATATTTTTGCCCACTTAGCATTAATTAACTTTTTTGAAAATACACTCAACGATATAGTTTATATGCTGTTTCATATTATATATATATATATATATATATATATATATTATATATATATATCGTTTAATTAGCGCTTCATAAATGTTTCAATAATATATATATATATAATATATATATATATTATATATATATGAAACCACGTCTTTAGAATTCTATCAAATTTCAGGGTATTTGTCATGTTTATGGCATCGACTGGGTTTTTTCATTATGGCCATTAAACTAAATGTTAAATAAATCCTAACCTAACTCGTTCCGACTTCGAATTTATTAGGTTCTAATCTGCTGACACTTTCAATTTTCAAATTTTTTAAAGAGAATCTACTTGTGCTGACTCACTGTAACGTTATTTGTAGTCGTAGCAATTTGATGCTATTGCAATTTATTGAATGTTGAATGCGCTTTTTGTTATTTTTAGACAAAAAATTCAAAGTGAAATGAAACTATTTTCCCTAAATTGTGACCAGAGACGGGATTAAATAGACAATTAAGACAAATGTATAAGACTTGTGATTAAGTCATGAATTTAGATTTATATGTTTTATATAGCTAGTAAGGTTGTGCTCATATTTTTTTATTGTTTTCCATTATCCCAATGCAAAGTTGCTTCTTGTCACTTTAAGAAAAAAACAAAGAGTAGTTGTGTTATGTCATTCAATTACACAAAATCAGATCATTAAAATGGGACAGTTTTTGAAGCATTCCAAAAATACAAACATTTCAC